TCTCTCCCTTCCTCTCTCTCCCTCCCACTCTGTCTGTGCAAAAAATGGAAAAGTGTCCTCAGGTGAGGATTAAAAAAAAAAAACCAAAGTCGAAGTTTGGTTCTTTGTCACTTTGTTAAAAGGACAAAGATTTTCCTCTTGCTTTTCTTTTTTTTTATCCTCATCCAAGGACATTTTTCCATTTTTTGTTCAGGTAGAGTGGGAGGGAGAGAGAGGAACAGAGAGAGAGAGAGAAACATCGACGTGAAAGGAACACATCGAGTGGCTGCCACCCGCACGACCGACCAGGGCCGGGGACAAACTGCAACCGAGGTACATGCCCTTAGCGGGAACTGAACCCAGGTCTCTCTGGACCGCAGGTCGACGCTCTAACCGCTGAGCCAAACTGGCCAGGGCTCCTCTTGCTTTTCAGACACAGGAGACAGTGTTATAAAATTTTTTTTCTTTTTTTTTTTTTATCCTCACCCGAGGACATTTTTCCATTTTTTGTTCAGGTAGAGTGGGAGGGAGAGAGAGGAACAGAGAGAGAGAGAGAGAAACATCAATGTGAAAGGAACACATCGAGTGGCTGCCACCTGCACGACTGACCAGGACTGGGGACAAACTGCAACCGAGGTACGTGCCATTAGCGGGAACCAAACCCGGGTCTCTCTGGACCGCTGGCCGATGCTCTAACTGCTGAGCCAAACCAGCCAGGGCTAAAAAATTTTTTCTTTATTGATTTTAGAGAGAGAGGAAGGGAGAGGGAGAGAGATAGAAACATTGATGAGAGAGAACATTGATTGGCTGCTTTCTGCATGCCCCCCACTAGGGATTGGGCCCACAACCTGAGCATGGGCCCTGACCGGTGTTGTAACCCAGGAGAATCAACCTCACTCGGACACAAAGTAATTTTGAATATTAGGAGCTTTATTACCTGCGCAGGGACTGCAGCCAACCTACACAGAGGAGAATTGCAGCCCCGAGCTCAGGGGGCGGGTTGCTTATATAGGACAGGGGTTACTCAAGAGTTTAGCAGAGCAAGCAAGCTACGTGTACAGAAGCAGATATCAGCAGTTAGTAGCTGTACAAGTTGTTTATTTTATATTTCTTAACATTTACTAGACCCTAGCCTTGAATGTCTCATTGTCCCGTCTGGCATCTCCTGATTAGTTAAGCTCATGGTTAATACCCTTGTGGTCATGGCTGATGCATACCTTCCTCTTCAAGAATTTTTGCAAAAACAACTCGGATTCAAGGAACCCAGGAGAGGTTCCTTCTTCTAGCGGATGGAGAATTACTGGGTTATAATATTCCCCACTGGTTTTATGCACAGATCAAATCTTTGATCTAATGGCAACCTTTGGTAATGAGAGTCCAGGACTAATAATTTGACAGATTGGACCCTCTCTCTTATGAAAGCTATTAATTCGTTTATCATTATAGGTCCACAGAAATAGTCCTAGAAATAGGAGTATGAGGGGGCCTGCTAGAGCAGACAGAAGAGTAGTGAGCCAGGGGGACCAGTTTTAAAGGCCTTCGAACTAGCTACTAGAGGCCTCTTCGCTTCTGGCCTGTTCTGCGAGGCGCTTCCTAAGAACCTGAATACTCCCTCTGATGACTCCTATCTATTGGCATAAAAACAGCAAGCTTCCCTTAGTGCTCTAAATGCTGTAAGGTGTCAGCTAGATAACTAGAGACGCACAGCCGAATTGTAAAGGAGCACTTTATTACATGGGCAGGCTGGGGGGGCATTCCCCAAATCCTCAGCAACCTGTCTTTTTTATTGCCTGCTTTTAAAGGCACAAACTACAGAAAAAAACTACATTCTCTTGGCGCCGCTTTTGGCACCGTTAAGGGGGGCTGATACAGAGAAGGGGGAGAGAGGAGCTTGGTAGGTCAGGGCAATTATTAATCTCTTTTTTCTCATGGTTCCTCTGAGTTCCCCAAGGCCATTATTAACCCCTTATCTTTATATTTTTCTTTGGGTTTCTCAAGGCCCTTACGTTTACAAAGAAAGTCTGCTAGGGTGTGTACATGTAGTAACTGAGGGTCAGAATGGAGTTATTACATCCCCTTTGTGGTGACATTTTTTAAGATTTCCCCTAATATTCTATTTCTAAGTTCCCAGTTCTATTGGGGTCTAGACTTATAAAGATTCCCCTGTACAGTTATAATCAGAAAAATTAGAGTCCTGATAAATGCAAGAGTCTCGTTTTTAAGGGTCTGGAGAGGCCTGCACTGTCTATTCCGCTTTTTCCACCTTCAGCCAGGAATGGTGCAGCCAGACCAGGATGCCGTTGACCTTGACAGCCGTTGGTGCAGGCAGGATGACAGTGTATGGTCCCTTCCAGGCCAGAGTTAGTCCCTGGGTGGTGAATTTCTTTACCCATACCGAATCCCTGAGCTGGAAAGGGTGCACAGGGTTTGAGGTGGGCACAGACAGGGCATCGCAGATGTGTTTATGGATGGCCTTCTGGCAAGACTGCAGAGCCTGTAAGAACTGTAAGAGGGTGAGGGGGAGCAGAGTGGTCCAGTTTTCACCAGTTTCTAAAGTAAATTTGGTTAAGGTTTCCTTTCAAGTCCTGTTCATGCGCTCTACCTGCCTAGAACTCTCTGGGCAGTAAGCACAATGGAGCTTCTAATTTATATTTAACCCCTTAGATCTAGATATCCTGTGATATCTTTGCTATCAAGGCGGAGCCACTGTCTGATCTAAGGGTCAGGAGTAGCCTAAACCTGTTACTCTCTTTATTATATCCCAGACTGTTATTCTATTACTAGGGGCAAGCTCTCCCCACTCAGTGTCCTATCTTCTTCCCTTCTTGAGTATTCCTCCAATGTCCTGTCTTCCTGTAATATGTATGTCCCTTTCTTTTATCCTTCCTTATCTTTTTATTTCCTCTGTATAATCCTTCTCTTTTTATTTCTTCCCTGTCTATAATCCTTCTTCAGCTTGCTGATAGACCCTCTACGACTTATACAATCCTTCTTCAGCTTACACAGACCCTCTGCGACTTTCCTAGTCCCTCCCCTGACATGAACCTGAGAGCTTGCTCAATTTATCTGCTGTCTGCACATCCTCCAGCTTTTCTTCTCCTCCTTCTTACTTAGACCTACACATCCCTGCTTCCCTCTGCCTTCTCCTTTGCCCTGTGACCTTACTGGAGTTCAGTAAGCTTGGTGTAACCTAACTGGGTAGTCTGGTGCAGCTGGTTGACCAAAGTCTGACTTAGAGCCTCTGGGACTAACAGCCTCCCATCCGACATTATCTACCATCCGTTGCTTTTCTTCGTGGCTTGTTTCTCCTTGGTTAAGTCATTTTCTGACCTAGTGTAAGTAGGAGTCAGAGGCAAACTTGTGTTTGGCAAGGTGACTGATATCTGGAGAGGTCTCCACCTGTCCAGCTTCCTTATTTGCAGCACAGTTTCCCCTTGTCTCATCAGAGAGCCTGGATTAGGGCTATGAGTTCAACCCCTTGGGCTGAAGTTCCTCTGTTTAATGACTGAGACCAAATGACACTATCCAGAGTTACTACTGCTGCCCCAGCATACCTGATTTCTTCCTGGACATAGCTGCTCCCATCCGTGAACAATACCTCATCTGATGATGGCAGTGGGTCATCCTTGAGGTCTGGGCGGCCGTCTGTAATGCCGATTTCCCCCAGGCTGTCCTGCAGAGGTTTCTCCGGGTCATCATCTGGAGACAGGCTGGCAGGATTGATGGCAATATCCTGGGGAACTTGATGCGAGGGCTGGCCTGGAGTGGCAGTGGCCAGCAATTGAATGATCTCTGGAGGAGATCACGTTCGAATAGGGGATATGGGCATTCCGGCAGGAACAGAAACAAATGAGTCACGGTATTTTTCCCAAGGTCTATAGTCCTCTTTGAAATCTAGGGGTAGGTTAGGGTCCCATTGGCTTGGTCAGGACTGAGTCTGCTGCGCCAGTATCTACCAGGAAACTAACCAGTTTGTCCCCTATTGTCTTGTATTATTCTGGGCTCCAGAGGGCTCAGCCGGAAGGAGCCCTAGCCCTGTCATTTTCCTAAATTAAGGACGGCTTTTTATTTTGTTCCTCTACACCTGACTTTGCCCTTGTCTTTTCTATTCCTAATCGGGACCTAGGCCTGTTGTCCTGACCCTTCCTCATGTTTCCCTTCCTAGGGTGATCCTGTTCCATGTGTCCTGTTTCCCTTAAGTCTGCTACCACTACCTTTGCTAATTCAGCCAATTGGCCAATAGGCCTAACAGGAGAACACGGTGAAAAGTGTCTAAGGAAGCCCTTCCCCTGACAGTATTTGGGTCCTACCGCAGTCAGAGGAATGGGAACATTTCCCCGGACCCCAGGTTTACAAAAGGATGCAGGAAAGGGGAGCAACAGCCTAACACATATGTTTATGCGGGCGGGGCAGAGTGTTTTTTAACTCTCTAAGAGCACTTGGCACCCATGCCTGGGATCCCTATATTTAACTCCCTAAAGTTCAGAGAAGCCTGTTGGAAACTAGCTGCTACCAAACGCGCTGCGGAGGAGCAGCCCAGGCTGGCATGGAAAGAATATGCCCCTTTCTGCAGCTGGACCCGGCTGGCACTTCCATGGTTACACACTTTGCCTGTGAGAATGTTAATAAGCCTTGCAGAGAGGCATTGAGACCTCACTCCAAAGAAGCCAGTACATCTGAATATAGCCGTATCTATTCAGATATTGGGGTAGATCATTAACAGAACCAAATTCATCTTCTTGCTTTTCTGTAATAAAAACCCAAAGTAGGCAAACTCGGGTTAATTAACATTTTAGTAACATGTAAACTCAGGTTAACATCCTCAAGAGGGGTCCCGAAGGACTAGAGAGAATTTCCTCGGGGGCTGGGAGGAGTTAACTGTCCTTCAGGGCAGGGTGAGGCATTGTTAACAAAACTGTTTTTCCTTTCATTTGAACCTCTGGATACTGACATTTCTTAATATAATTGGGTTTGTCAGTAGTTATATCAATTCAAATATTAATATATGGCATTTGTTCCAGGTGACCAAGACTCCTGTATATTTCCTGACGGACTGTAAAAGCCAATTGCAAATTGAAACTACCTTCGGGTGGCCAATTAACCCCTTAGGCGGGCTATTCAAGTTCACAGAGTGTTCTCAGGAAACCAGGATCGCAGGCTTTTTCATAGTCACAGGAGCGCTTAAAGAAATCAGAAGAGTTAGCAAGCACACATTCCAGGGGAGTCTGTGGGGGAAGAATTTCCTTGTTCCATCCTGGAAGGCAGAAGGCAATGAAAACACAAAACAAGAAACACAGAAACACGAACAGACAGATAAAAATTACACTACACCCGCGAGACCAAACCAACTCGGTACTGCAGAGCAGAACCGAAACAACAGCCAGACAACAGCTTCCTGTTCTGACCAGTGGGTTGCAGTTGGTGTGGAGTCCCACCTCCAATCACCACCAATGCAAATGCCTCAAGGCTCAAACAAACAAAAGGGGACTCCCCTTACCAATGTCCCCACAACACTGGACGAAACAGAAAGCTCCAAACCGAATTGAAAGCCTAATGTAGTGGTGGAGGATGTGGAGGCTCCCTCCGCCTATTCCGAGGAGGTCAACCCCTTAGAGTGGGGACCTTGCGGTTGATCTCGCTGGGGCCTCCAATGTTGTAACCCAGTAATTCTCCATCCACTAGAAAAAGGAACCTCTCCTGGGTCCCTTGAACCCGAGTTGTTTTTGCAAAAATTCTTGAAGAGGAAGGTATGCATCAGCCATGACCACAAGGGTATTGACCAGGAGCTTAACTAATCAGGAGATGCCAGACGGGACAATGAGACATTCAAGGCTAGGGTCTAGTAAATGTTAAGAAATATAAAATAAACAACTTGTACAGCTACTAACTGCTGATATCTGCTTCTGTACACGTAGCTTGCTTGCTCTGCTAAACTCTTGAGTAACCCCTGTCCTATATAAGCAACCCTCCCCCTGAGCTCGGGGCTGCAGTTCTCCTCTGTGTAGGTTGGCTGCAGTCCCTGCGCAGGTAATAAAGCTCCTAATATTCAAAATTACTTTGTGTCCGAGTGAGGTTGATTCTCCTGGGTTACAACACCGGGAATTGAACCGGTGACCTCTTGGTGCGTGAGTCGATGCTCAACCACTGAGCCACACCAGCAAGGCTAAGGAGACATTTTTTTTTTAATCCTCATTTGAGGATATTTTTCTGTTTATCATCAGATTGAGTGGGATGGCGGGAAAGAGAGAAACATCGATGTGAGAGAGAGACATCGACTGGTTGCCTCCTGCACAACCAGGGCCGGGGACGAATTGCAACTGAGGTACGTGCCCTTGACCAGAATTGAACCCACAACTCATTGGTCCGCAGGCTGATGTTCTAACCACTGAGCAACCGGCCAAGCAAGGAGACATTTTTAAAGCATTTTGGTAAATTATATATTTCTCTCTCTCTCTCTCTTTTTTTTAAATCCTCACCTGAGGTCATTTTCCATATTTTGTTCAGATAGAGTGGGAGGGAGAGAGAGAGAAACATCGACGTGAAAGGGACACATTGAGTGGTTGCCACCCCCACGACTCAACCAGGACCGGGGACAAACTGCAACCGAGGTACGTGCCCTTAGCAGGAACCGAACCTGGGTGTCTCTGGACCTCAGGCCACCGCTCTAACTGCTGAGCCAAACCAGCCAGGGCAGAATCTGGCAGTTCTTTTTTTATCCTCACCCAAGGACATTTTTCCATTTTTCGTTCAGGTAGAGTGGGAGGGAGAGAGAACAGATAGAGAGAAACATCGATGTGAAAGGAACACACCGAGTGGCTGCCACCCGCACGACCTACCAGGGCCAGGGACAAACTGCAACCGAGGTACGCGCCCTTAGCGGAAACCGAACCCGGGTCTCTCAGAACCGCAGGCTGACGCTCTAACCGCTGAGCCAAACCGGCCAGGGCAGAATCTGGCAGTTCTTAATGAGTGAGTCATGGCAACACATTTCTTTGCATGAATTCAATAAGACCGGTTTCCAGTTGTGGTTTTATTAACCAAGAATTTGATTAGAATGCCACATCTGACAGAGACATGCCTGGCTCTGGATGTCATCAGAAAGCTTTAAGGAATGAAGACTGACTTTGTGTTGTTGTTGTTCTTGTTAATGCTCACCCGAGGATATTTTTCCACTGGTATTTTAGAGTGGAAGGGAGGGAGGTAGGGAGGGTTAGAGAGAGAAAGAGACAGACAGAGAGAGAGATGTGAGAGAGACACATCGATTGGTTGCCTTCTTCATGATCCTGACCGGGGCCGGGAAAGAACCTGCAGCCCAGGTATGTGCCCTTGACTGGAATCAAACCTGAGACCAACACTCTAACCACTGAGCAAAAGTGTCTAGAACAAGACTGATTTTGAAGCTAATCAAAGTCCCTTAAAGCAGCAGTCTGGAGCCTTGCTTGTCACATGGTCATGCCAGTCTTTCCAGGTGAAGAACAAGGCTGCTCTCCTGACAGATGGCGAGGAAGGAACCTCAAGACATGTTGGAAATCTCAACAACTTGAGGAATGCACCCAGTGTAGAGGTGCTGCAGACAAGCCTGAATGCAACTAGGCGGCCTGGCCTGTTTGCCCTGAGGGGCTACGTAAAGCTCAGTCATGAGAGTCCAGCAAAGCAGATTTAAAAGAGTATATAATGCAAGTGATATGTGTGTGTCTCTCTCTCTCTCTCTCTCTCTCTCTATCTCTATCCCTATCTCTATCTCTATCTATCTCTATCTCTATCTGAATGGAAAAGGGAAAAATGTCCTCAGGTGAGGATAAAAGTAAATTAAAAAATTGCCCTGGCCGGTTTGCTCAGTGGTTGGAGCGTCAGCCTACGGACCAGAAAGTCCCAGGTTTGGTTCCCGCTAGGGGCACGGACCAAAAAAAAAAAAAATATTTTGCCCTGGCCAGTTTGGCTCAGCGGTTAGAACGTCAGCCTGTGGTTCAGAGAGACCCGGGTTTGGTTCCTGCTAAGGGCACATACCTCGGTTGCAGTTTGTCCCCGGCCCTGGTTGGGTCGTTTGAGTGACAACCACTTGATATATCCCTTTCACAACAATGTTTCTCTCTCTCTCTGTTCCTCCCACTCTATCTGAACAAAAAATGGAAAAATGTCCTCGGGTGAGGATAAAAAAATAATAATAATGAAGTGTTATTCTTATTGTTTGTGCAAATAACCAGGCCAAATTGAAATTGGACTTAATACAGACAATAAATTGGTCTTTATTTGGCTTTTTAACAAAAATGAGGGTGATTTTAGGGGGGAAATTATGTGTCAATAAACTCTACAATACAGTTGTGAATATTAGACTCTAATTCAATTGTCTTCAGTTTTATTTTTTACCTGTGACTTGAAATGAATCCTGAATTTATCTAATTTTCTTAAACATTTACCTAAAACACTTGGTAAATAGTAGTTCCTATAAAAATGACATAGAGAATAATATAAAATTCATATATATCATTTAAATTTGTTGAGGGCAACAAGAATGGCACCAGATGTTAGACCAGCGGGGTCAGTCCAGACCTGGGTTCAGCAACCTCGGTACTTGAATTCTGGCTGGGAAAGAATTCAGAGCCCAGACTCAAATTATAAGAGAACATTTATTTGAAAAATCACAGAAGTAGAAGTAATTCATAGAAGGAATGAGCACAGGAAACAAGTTATAGTGGTAAAGGAAGGGCCCTTGGAGCTTGGGAGTAGGAAGATGAAGGGGAAGCGTCTGGAGGAGTGGGAGGTGAGGGAAGGGAAGGCCGGGGTGTGCTTCCAGGGGAGAGCACTGGGTCCTCTGTCCTAAGGGCTTTAAGGGTGGAGATTTTAGGGGAGGTCCCACGGGAAGATCTCAATAGACTGCTCAGCAGTTTTCCAGATGTATCCTTTCTCCTTGATTTTTTTTTTTTTTTTATCTTCACCCAAGGACATTTTTGCATTTATCTTCAGATAGAGCAGGAGGGAGAGAGGGAGGGAAAGAGAGAGAGAAACACTGATGTGCCACCCACACACTCCAACTGGGGTCGGGGACAAACTGCAGTCAAAGTACATGCCCTTAGTGGAATTTGAACCTGGGTCTCTCTGGTCAGCGGGCCGACTCCCTAACTGCTGAGCCAAACTGACCAGGGCCAGGTGCGTCCTTTTAGGCTCTAGGTCTCCACTGACTGATTGGTTGGCATCAGGGCAGAGGTTCATTATTCAACGAAACTTGTCCTGAGGTCAGCCATGGGGTCAGTTGTTTGGTTTTGCTGCTTTTCTGGGCCTGGAGCTGAAATATAACTGAGGCCTAGATATTATCTCCAGGGAGGAAAGGTCAGGGATCCAAAGTGCATGACCAGGGATATGCGAGGGGAGGAGAGGTCACCCTGGGGACGAGGTCCCACCCTACAGTTGTCCTTTGCTAGGCACCTGGGGCTTCCCCCTTGGTGACCTTCTGTATCTGGCTCCCCCTTGCTCTGCTCATGTCTAACTGCCTACCACAGAGTCAATACACAGTGTCAATATATAAAGAACAAATAACATGCAAGATTTTATTCTATTTATTTTTTAATATTTTTATTGAGTTGTAGAGGAAGGGAGAGGGAGAGACAGATGGAAATGTCGATGAGAGAGACACATCAATTGGTTGCTTCCTCCAAGCCCCCCACTAGGGATTGAGCCCACAACCTCGGCATGTGCCCTGACTGGGAATTGAACCGCGACCTCTTGGTCCATGGGTCAATGTTCAACCACTGAGCCACCCCAGCTGGGCAATATGCAAGATTTTAAAACGTTACACATGGCTTTTCTTTTTTATCTTCACCCGAGGACATTTTTTTCCATTTTTTGTTCAGATAGACTGGGAGGGAAAGCGAGAGAGAGAGAGAAGGAGAGAGAGAGAGAGAAACATCGATGTGAAAGGGACACATGGAGTGGCTGCCACCCGCACAACCAACCAGGGCCGGGGACAAACTGCAACCGAGGTACACGCCCTTAGCGGGAACCGAACCCGGGTCTCTCTGGACCGCAGGCTGACGTTCTAACTGCTGAGCCAAACTGGCCAGGGCACACATGGCTTATCTTAAGTGTGCACTGAGCATTGGAAATAATTCGTGAACTCCCAATGTCTGAAGTACCATTGCCGGATGCCCCCACAGGGAACCATCACTTTTGGCTTGCCCACTGTCACTGACAGGACATCTGCTACCCCCGGGACTTCTTGTTTGAACTTGGCTTTGAATTTTTACAAGTTTCTGCCTAGGGCACACTGAAATCTGTAGAATATCCACTTTTATACAAATATACGTGTAAAATTGAACTGTTATTTTTTATTTGGAAACATTTCCCATGTAATTTAAAGCATACTAAATAGGCCTAATTAGTTTTAAAACATTTGTTGTTGTTGTTTTATAAGGAGAGAGAATAAATCCTTGAGGTATTCCAAGGACCATTGGAATAACTCAGTCATCTCTTGGTTAAAAAAGTCTTTTAATATTTATTTATTTATTTTTAATTATTATTTTTTTATCCTCACCCGAGGACATTTTTCCATTTTTTGTTCAGATAGAGCGGGAGGAGAGAGAGGAAGAGAGAGAGAGAGAAACATCGACGTGAAAGGGACATATCGAGTGGCCGCCACCCGCACAACCCAACCAGGGCCGGGGACAAACTGCAACCGAGGTACGTGCCTTTAGCGGGAACCGAACCCGGGTCTCTCAGGACCGCAGGCCGACGCTCTAACCGCTGAGCCAAACCGGCCAGGGCAAGTCTTTTAATATTTAAACGTTGGTTGTCAAATCTACTTAATCAAAACATTATATCATGAACTCTTTGTAAATTTAGGTAAAACAAACACATTTTATGGTAATAACTCTAAAAGACATTAATCAAACCTAAAATGGTTTTAATATTAAATATTTTGTCCAGACCACAGGATCCTAATTAACATGTATAAGTATTTAATCTCTTTAAGCCAATAAAATATTACACCCTAGAGTAATGCCATCCAGAGGCAGAAAACACACCACATATAATATACAAACACATATCATATAAAGACCATACACATAATTCAAATTATTAATTTTTGCAGAGAAAACAAGATTTTTTTTTTATTTGCCCTTGCTAATTCTTAAGAAGATTGGAAAAGGGGAGGGAAGGTCCTAATTACTAAGCAGGTAGATTTCTTGAGTCTCTCAATAAAAACCTCCAGGGCGCCCTGCCTAATGTGGCTTGGTGGTTAGAGTGTCAGTCCACAGATCAAAGGGTCTCGGATTCACTTCCAGGTCAAGGGCACATACCTGGGTTGCAGGTTCAATCCCCAGCCCTGGTTGTGGCAAGTATGGGAGGCAACCAATCCATGTATCTCTCTCACGTCAATGTTCTCCCCCCTCTTCCTTTCCCATCCAGTCTCTCTAACAATCAATGGAAAAAATATCTTCTGGTCCGGTTGATGTGGCTCAGTGGTTGAGCATTGACCCATGCATGCACCAAGAGGTCACTAGTTCAATATCCGGTCAGGATACATGCCCAGGTTGTGGGCCAAACCCCCAGTGGTGGGCATGCAGGAGGTGGCGAGTCAATGTTCTCTCATAGATAGTTCTATCTCTCTCTCCCTCTCACTTCCTCTCTCTCTAAAATCAATAAAGGAAAAAAAAACATTGTTAAAAAAAAAAAAGAAAGAAAAGAAAAAATATCCTCTGGTCAGTTTAATTACAGTTGAGTTGGAATTCCCTATGGGGCTCCTGCAGGTCATGAGACACCTCCACAAAGATTCTTAGTCACCTAAAAGCACCTGAGATTCAGGCTGGAGGGAGGATGTGCCCCTTATCATCAGAGTGAATAAGTTCAGCTCTCATTTATACAGTGAAGGCTTTAGTTCAGACTCTCAGAAAGCAATTCCAATTGAAAAGCCAGAGTTAAAAAACCAGCCACCCGCCCTGGCCGGTTTGGCTCAGCGGTTGGAGTGTTGGCTTGCGGTTCAGTTCCAGCTAAGGGCCCGTACCTCAGTTGCAGTTTGTCCCCAGCCCTGGTTGGTTGTGCGGGTGGCAGCCACTTGATGTGTTCCCTTCACGTCAATGTTTCTCTCTCTCTTTCCTCCTCTCTCTCCCTCCCACTCTACCTGAACAAAAAATAGAAAAATGTCCTTTAGGTGAGGATTAAATAAATAAACCTAGCCACCCAGTTTTCCTCCTGTCTCACCTGAGCTTGGGTTATGTCAACCTTTAAGGTTAGTTAAAATCCACCTGAGGATTTTTTAAAAAGCTCAAATAAAGCCAGACCCTCTACCACAAGCAAGAGAAGGTCCTGGATCCAAGAGACAATTCCCCCAAGTTCACCCTTGGACATGAAGCCAGCAGGCTCAGTGGGCCCTTTGCTGGATCCTAGCTCTGGGTCCAGGTCTGTGGGGTGGTCCTGGGTGAGCTGCTTTGGAATCCTGCAGACTACACCAAGTAAATGTCCATGTAAGAAACATTCAAACTGCCCTGGCCAGTTTGGTTCAGTGGTTGGAGTGTTGGCCTGCGGACCAGAGGAGAGTCCCAGGTTCGGTTCCCGCTAGGGGCATGTAGCAAAAAAATAAATAAAGGGACCTTGCTGTGAGTTAAAAAAAAGAAAAGAAAGAAACATTCAAACCTATAGAGAATTTTTGTGATTTTATTTGAGCCAAACTGTAGACAATTGGTGGGAAGCAAAATATCAAAGGATTGAGATAATGCTCCAGAGAAGGGCAGTTTTGTGTCTTATAAACATTACAGTCAAAAGAGAAGATGAAGGTGGGTTACATGAAATTCACTAGTGATAGATTAGGGAGGTGGGAAAAAGCAAAGCAGGGAAACCTCTGGGATTGGACAGTAAAAGGATAGACACATTTTTTACATAGGTGGATACAGGATAGTTAACAGGCAACAACTAACATGATAAGAATAGCAAAGAGAGGATTTATGGCCCTGGTGCATTGGTTGTGCCCTGAGGGGTTTGGGGAAAAGGGAAGTTACCTTGACATTCCAAAGGAATGTTATCATTGATGCAAAAAACAATAAATAGGCTTAGTTAAGGTAAAGATTGACTTTTGTCAGGGAAGCTTCTAGCCTAAGACATGACTACTTGCCATAAGCTGTGTTTAGTTCAAAAATTTTAATTTTAGCCTGGCCCGTGTGACTCTGTTGGTTGAGCAACTTCCCATGCACCAGGAGGTCACCAGTTCCTGGTCAGGGCACATGCCCAAATTTCATGCTCAATCCCCAAGAAGGGGCATGCAGAAGGCAGCCAATCAAAGTTTCACTCTCTTTTTTTCTTTTTTCTTTGGTATGTGCCCCTGGCGGGAACCAAACCTGGGATTCTCTGGTCCGCAGGCCGACGTCCCAACCACTGAGCCAAACCAGCCAGGGCTCTTTTCTTCTTTTTTTTATGTTTTTTTTTTTTAATCCTCACCCGAGGACATTTTTCCACCTTTTGTTCAGACAGAGTGGGAGGGAGGGAGAGAGACAGAGAGAGAGAGAGAGAGAGAGAGAGAGAAACATCGACGTGAAAGGGACACATCGAGTGGCTGCCATCCGCACGACCAACCAGGGCCGAGGACAAACTGCAACCGAGGTACGTGCCCTTAGCGGGAACCGAACCCGGGTCTCTCTGGACCGCAGGCCGACGCTCTAACTGCTGAGCCAAGCTGGCCAGGGCTCTTTTTTTTATGTTTAACTCTCACATCAATGTTTCTCTCTCTCTGCCTCCCATCCTCACTCCTTTCCTTCCTCTCTGAAATGAATTAAAAAACATTTTTAAAAATGTTTTAATTGCAGACCATCGTTTGTGGTTACTTTAGGTCTTTGAGTTTGCAAGGCCACCACGCAGGCCTTCCCTGAGCTTGTCAGGTTAGCATGTGGCCCCTTTTTGTCCACACAAATACCCATGTTCTAAGAAAATATAACTTTACATATATATTTTAAGCAAACTATACCTCTTGCATAAATTTAGACAATAGAAGGAGTGTGCAATCATAATGTTTATTTTATAGAAAATAAATGAAAATTGCCCTGGCCGGTTTGACTCAGTGGTTAGAGCGTTGGTCTGTGGTCCAGAGAGACCCGGGTTCGGTTCCCACTAAGGGCATGTACCTCGGTTGCAGTTTGTCCCCAGCCCCAGTTGGGGTTGTGTGGGTGGCAACCAGGTGATGTCTCTCTCTCACGTCGATATCTCTCTCTCTTTCTTCCTCCTTTTCTCCCTCCTGTTCTATCTGAAGATAAATGAAAAAAAAAAAAAAAGAAAGAAAATAAATGAAAATTGCCCTGGCTGGTTTGGCTCAGCGGTTAGAGCATTAGCCTGTTGACCAATGAGTCATGGGTTCAATTCTGGTCAAGGGCACATAGCTCCGTCGCGGTTTGTTCCTGGCCCTGGTCCGGTCATGTGGGAGGCAACCAGTCGATGTGGCACTATCACATTGATGTTTCTCTCTGTCTCTCTCTCCCTCCCTCCCTTCTACTTTATCTAATGATAATAGAAAAATATCCTCAGGTGAGGAATAAAAAAAAGAAAAGAAATGAAAATTGCCCGGCCAGTGTGACTCACTGGCTGAGCACTGACCCATGCATGCACCAAGAGGTTGCCGGTTTGATTCCCAGTCAGGGCACATGCAGGAGGCAGCTAATTGATGTTCTCTCTCATTGATGTTTCTATCTCTCCCTCTCCCTTCCTCTCTCTCTAAAAATCAATAAAGAAAAAATATTTTTTTAAAAAAGAAAATAAATGAAAATTATTGTGACCTAAATGCTTTTAAATAATTAGAGTCCTCTTGGGTTAGATGTAGAGCGTAATATTTTCCCTAATTTACCACCACCCTGGTCAAAAAGAGCTGAAACATTGGTCAGTAAGTAGGACTACATTTCCAAGTAAGTTTAACCTGAATTCTTTAGGTACAGATTGTAAAGTATTGCAATTCCAGCTAATTTAGCGAACTCAGTAAGCATAGTATTCAGTTTTTAAATGAAGACTTTTAAAGGAATTGTTGTTTCTACTAAACTAGTTTTCGTGTTGTTGTTTTTTAATCCTCACCTGAGAATATTTTTCCATTTATCTTCAGATAGAGCAGGAAGGAGAGAGAGAGAAACATCAATGTGAGAGGGACACATTGACTGGTTGCCTCCTGCACCACCCTGCCCAGGGCCTGGGACCAACCATAACTGAGTATGTGCCGTTGTCCGGAATTGAACTCGCAACTCTTTGGTCCACAGGCCTACACTCTAACCACTGAGCCAAACCAGCCAGGACTACTAAACTAGTTTTTATAAGAGGGTCATTTTTTAAATCTAATAGCGTTTAGAGATTATTTTATGAACTCTAAACATTCTAGTTCCTTCATTTTCTCGAAGAAAGAGAACTTCAGCAGTAGCAGGAAGGACTGTCCCACACAAAAGCCACTGGGGAGAATACTCTAAGTCCGGAGGCCTCTACAGTCACAGTGTATCCAAGAGGAGACTGTTCAAACCAGAACAAATCGATGCACACTTCTTTCAGGAGGTCTCTCTGTCTTTAGAAACTGGAATGAAGATTACCAACACATTTTACACAAGAATTACTGGAATAACATCCTGTAATATGAGATTAATGAACTAAAGGAAAAAAAGTATCTCATTTTCTTCTCTGAACACAACTTTAGCTTTCTACGGCAGTGCTAAGGCCATGCGGGTCCTTTACCAAAGGACATGGAGATAAAAGACAAGGTAGAGGACTTTGAAAACTTTCTCTGATTTAATTTTCTCTGAAAAGGTAAATTCGACATGATGGTAAGAATGTTTGCTAAAAGAAAACTGACATTACAAACTGATATAAGAGACAGACACTCAAGATAAATTGTACTGGAAATACAATAATGAATTTTGGCCTGATAACCCTCATGCTGTCTTATAGCAAACACTAAAATTCATGCAACAGACAAATTAGTGACAGGAGGACTTTTCTCCAGATTTCCTGGGGAAAAAAAACAGAATACATTGTTTTATTCTGTTTGCATTCATAATGAATTATTCTTGCTTTTAACTGACTTTCCCAAACTTTCAGTCATTTCTGATGAGAAGTCATTCTTCAATAGGAGAAGACCAGGTAAACTTACATGAAGACATCAGGTGTCTTTTTCCTGTCTGTTAGAAGAGCAGTCAAATAGATTATGTTAAACTATCTCCACAATTAAATGATAGGTAGAACTGGAACAGGAGTTAGTTATCATTAGTATGCATGTAATAAAATAAAGCTTATTCTGAAACCACAAGGGCTGATATGAAGAGCCCATATAAAAGCTACTGGGTTCTCCAGAAAATGGATACAGTATACAGAATGTGAGAATATACAGGACTCACACTCAAGTTATAAAAATAGACATGGTTCTCAGACAGAAATCAAATGAGTACAAAAGAATTCTCCAATCATGAACAATTTAAAAAAGACAGGTCTATATAAAACAATAAAATGTCATCTCAGAGCTCCAACAAGTAGTCTGTTGAAATGGCTGAGAGGGGGAGATGAACTAGAGACAGACAGTTCAGGAACCCAGAACTGATCTGTCCGAGTTTTCTGGTTGGCAGTGTACATTGGTGGTCATAGGCAGACTGCTTTTGAGGGCAAAAATTTATCTATATATATAAAATGGCTGACTGGTTGACAATACTTGAATGAATGAGAAAACCCAAGTTATTAAGTAATCCCTAGAAATTTAACTATTTTCTTTTAGCTTCTACACTTGACAGTGTTGCACATGAGAAAGATTTCTAGGTTTTTCCACCCAGAATCAACCCTGCCATTTACAACTCATGCTCCATGCCCCATGGTTCTATTGTGCCCTACATGATCAGCCTAGACTAAATATATAACAAAATAACTCTGGCCTTGAACTGAAGAGGGGCAGGCCAGTAACTCATGCTCAATACTTCATAAACCACAAATACTGAAATTAATGGTTTCTCCTTTTGACTGCAAAGGAGATGCCATGAGCTAAAGAAGTCATGAGAGAAAGAAAGTCAAGAAGATATGGGTAGCAGCACCTTTCCATACCCGCCTGGATTTTTAAGGAGATTTTCACTCCTTACTCCTTTCAAATACAAAACTCATCGGTTGGAATGAAAAAAAAAGTGGCTCTAAAGTTGAAGAGTCCCCAGAGAAAACTAGCAGTACATGGACTATGCCCTGTGGGCTAAAGGACAAGTTGCAGAACCAGTTAAGACACAAGAGGCAGCTCAAGGTCTTACTTAATGACGGTTTTAGCACAGTATAGCACAATATGGGCAGCCTTGTATCCATCCAACCAAGTCAGCACCATCCATGTCCTGTACAAAAGATTCCTGAAGAGGGCTTTCGTCTTTGGTACCACCCCACGAGTTATTCTTGGTTTGTAGTAACTTCAAAGAAGCAAAATAGCTGGTACCTATGCCTTGTCTGTGAGTACAATTGCTGGGACTCTGATTGCTGCAACCACTGAGGCCAATTAAAATAACACTGTAACACAGCGGAGTGATGCATCCATTCCCAAATTCCAGATAATAGCAGCCATGCCCCTACAAGAGCAAGATCATCCATTCTTTTTGGTTAAGGCCTTCGGTTTGTTGTCCTCAGAGTGGAATAAAACATCGTGTTCCCACAGACAAGGAACTCCAGATGAATTCACGGTCCACATTTGGGCAGAGATTTTAAGTACCACATTTGCCAGGCACAGAAACAGGACTGGCCTGTGGTTGTCACACTTGGAGAAGCTTCTATTTTGGCAGCACACACTAGAAACTTCTTAGGGTATTCTAGTTTTAGTTCTCTTTCCTGAGTGAAGCAGCCAGGGAGTGCCAAGTTCTACAAGCCCCAATCTAATACTCAGCATTAATTCTCTCCATGGTCTTCTTCCACCCAGGCTACAATTTTCCCTTCCCATCCAGGGATGGCATCATCATCATGGAAAACCTAGAGAAAGAAAAAAAGGCGTAATGAAAAAATAACAGTAAGGCCCTGGCCGGTTTGGCTCAGCGGTTAAAGCGTCGGCCTGCGGTCCTGAGAGACCCAGGTTCGGTTCCCGCTAAGGGCATGTACCTCGGTTGCAGTTTGTCCCCGGCTCTGGTCAGTCGTGCGGGTGGCAGCCACTCGATGTGTTCCTTTCACATTGATGTTTCTCTCTCTCTCTCTGGTCCTCTCTCTCCCTCCCACTCTACCTGAACAAAAAATGGAAAAATGTCCTCGGGTGAGGATTAAAAAAAATAAATAAATAACAGTAAGAAAGGGAGTCTCACTAAACATCTGCTGCTGATAAAAACAAGACGTCAAACATACAGGATAAGAGTGTAGAAGAAAAGTTTGAGTTAGAGAGAGTCTACATCTCTTTTTGTTTCTAGAGGTATAACGTACAAAAAAAATTATATATATATACATATTCTTAGTTCCACATCTGTGAAATGGTAAGGGCATCCCTAACATGGCCTTGCTTATAAAGATATATAAGGCTTAATAAATTACTAACCATAGAACACTTTGGGCTTCTTAGGAGAAAGCATCAGTATAAACATGAAAACAACAAGAATGGGGAAAATTTTGGTTCTGGGCATTGTTTTTTTGTTTTGTTTTGTTTTGTTTTGTTTTGTTAATCCTCACTCAAGGAAATTTTTCCAATGATTTTTAGACAGAGTAGAAGAGAAGGAAGGAGGGAGAGAGAGAGAAACGTCGATGTAAGAGAGACACATTGAATGGCTGTCTCCCGCATGACCCCAACTGGGGCCAGGGATCAACCTGCAATCCAAGTATGTGCCCTTGAGCAGGAATTGAACCTGATACCCTTTGGTCCAAGGGTCAACGCTCTAACCACTGAGCAAACCAACCAGGCCAGTTCTGGGCATTGTTAAAGAAAGGATTAGAAAGACCAATCTTAACATGTTTGCATGCAATTATTTTCATTCATTCATTCAATTCATTTACTAAGCTACTAATAGAACAGGGTTATTAAAACATTTTCAGTGAGGAACTCTTTACAAAATAAAATACTGGCTTTTCTAACCCTTTTCATTCTATAGCCACAATGAAAGCACTTACAATACTCCATAACTCAGAACTCTTGTCCACAAAAAAGTCTATTTTTAGCAGATGTATTATAAAGAAAAGCATAGGCTAATAAAATAGTCAAGGAGTTAAGAATATGCACAGTTGCCCAGCTGGTGTGGCTCAGTGGTTGAGTGTGGACCCATGTACCAAGAGGTCTCCAGTTTGAATCCCATTCAGGGCATATGCCCAGGTTGTGGGCCAAATCCCCAGTGGGGGGCATGTGGGAGGCAGCCAATTGATGTTCTCTCTCATCAATGTTTCTCTCCCTCTCCCTCTCCCTCTCTCTGTCTCAAATCAATAAAGAAGGAAAAAAAAAGAATATGCACAGTTGACTTTCCAGAAGTTCCTCACTTTCATTATCTGAGAAACTACCACCACAATATACAGATCCACATTCATGCCTATTTATTTATTTTGCTCTACATAGGAAGCAGAAAGTTTTCTAAAATTTGGCTACAGATACAAAAGGGTCCCCAAAGCCAAGCTTTTGTTCAAGAGAAGGTTCTTTATTTTGTTTCAAGAGAAGTTTTATGAGTTTGGTGAAAGTGATTAAGTCCTTGAGCTAAAGAAGCTATCATCTTGGGCCATTCCTTGACCTCAGCCTAGTAATCAGACTGGGCTGTGGCTCTGGGAAGTTTCTCTGACCTGGTTGGCGAACTCAGATACTTCTGGGTACTGTCCTTGAGTAGGAGGCTTTGAGGTTCAGGAATGATCAATAACACCACCCTGACTCCCCAAGGATACTGTACCTCCTCTTTGACAGTGCCAAACTCAGGATCCAGCGCTTTGAAATGGTACCGGTGGTTCCCTTCTCGGTCAATAGCTGCTTTAAAATCCTTCAGTGTCACCTCCCCCAACCTGCAACCAACACAGAAAGCTCTCAGATAGGCTGTTTATCAATAGGTTGTAAGGACAAGGTGTTAGCTTTAAACCCAGGCCCCTGCCAAAGGCTCTGGCTTTGTTAGGTCATTGCCCCCTGAGAACCCAGATGATTCTAAACAACGGAAGTTAGGGAGCCAGTCACCATTAGGGAATAAAAATGGCATCACAAATGGGATGATCTGAGAATTTACAATAGATTTATTCAGCAGCAGCCAAATCACTGTTTTATTTTTCTCTGGAAATAAGACACAACGTTTCTGAAATCTAATTTGTTGAACTCCTGTCTAACCCAGACCAAGTAAGCAGACTCTCTAGGAAAGGGAAATCCTATCACCTTACTCAGGAGTTGGTTCCACAGTTTAAATATCTTATTTCAGAGCCATTTACCTTAGAAGGGAGTAATTAGCCCAGTGTTTGAAGGTTTTTAACATGAATTCTCAAGAGGTTAGTTGTAGTCATCCAATAGTAACAAAGATCAGTAAGTAATAGCCCTGGGGCACCAGGCTGCAATCCATGGTGATCAGCAGGAGCTATTTTGAACACTTAAATAACTAGTTTTCCTAACTTGAAGCATATTTGCACATCAGGCTGGAAGCACTGTGTCTGTGCCTAGCAGCAGATCATGACTTGTCCCTTGTAATCCACTGGTGAAGCCAAAACTGAAATCTCTCTCTCCTGTGCTCTCTTTACACCATACAGCTTCTCAAACACCTCTTAGCTGGTTAGATAGATGGGCAGTAATTAATGATTCTGCCTGCCTGTCCTTTTTAAAAGAGAAATGGATCAAAGACTCTTACCTCTTTGGTATATTGACCATGAAGGGTGTAAGTGACCGGTCAGTGAAATAGAGCACTTTCGTGCAGGTGCTGCTGACAGTAGGTGAGCTCTGTGAGTGAGGCAACTCTGCAATCAGAGAGGCTTCGTGGTCAGAACATTCAACTGGCACCCAACCACCCCTCATTTCCAGTTATCCGAAATGCCCCAGAGGATGAAGCTGCCTGAGGTCACAGCAGAGCTTTCACACCCTTGCCAAACACCAAGTCCATAGGGTGTGACCCACAGGAAGTCACCACTGGGGCCACAAAAACAAGAAGTGCTTTGGACACGGACACTATCACAAGGACCATCATTTCTTACCCATTCCAGGTATTCTAGCAGGGAAATAGCAACTGTTCTGACGCATTGTTGCTAAGAGTCTAAAGAGGTCAAAGAAGCCCAGCAGCTTTTCAGCTAGGGCAGAGTGGACACACAGCAGGGGCTGCAGACTCTGCCAACAGCTAAATTTCAGAGGTCTGTGGTAAAGAACGCTCATGCAATTCATGAAACGAGAAAGGAATAGGAACAGGAGCCATAGAAGCAAAGTAACCTTAGAAACTCAGATGCCCAAGGGGCCTCATGCTTCCAGTCCAAGATACAAGACCTACCTTATCCCTTAGCTACAGAGGATCTTTGTGTGTTGGCCCATAATTTTTACTCAGGTCTCTTGATCTACATCTTGTCTCTACCCTTTGTATAGGTATTTATGGAAAATTTTCATTAATGAGTACTTGTGATTATGACTTTAAGAGAATAGGAGAAAAGACCAATCAGAAATTTTTATAAGGACCAACAAATAATTCAAGTTTCCTTAAAATCTGTCCTGCAATTCCAACTACATATATTTTCTTCTTAACTTTTTCTAGACATTGATTCCAATCAAGCTGGGAAGTCACAAGAGAACATTTCCAGGAAGGGGTTTAAAATAAAGAAGAGTGGCCCTGGCCAGTTTGGCTCAGCAGTTAGAGCATCAGGCTGCGGACCAATGAGTCATGGGTTCGATTCCAGTCAAGGGCATGTACCTCGGTTATGGTTTGTCCCTAGCCCTGGTCGGGTCATGCGGGAGGCAACCAGTAGATGTGTCCTCTCACATCGATGTTTCTCTCTTTCCCTCCCTCCATCCCTCCCACTCTATATGATGATAAATGTAAAAATATCCTCGGGTGAGGATTAAAAAAAAATTAAAATAAAGGAGAATGTGTGGAATTAATTAATACAGGGGAAGAAAGACAAGGGAACTTTCTCTCTTGGTACAGCAATCAGTCAGTTTTCAGTGTTTTTCTTCAAAGAATGCCAATTATTGAAACTACATGCCATGATGCTCCTTTGACTCCAGCATGTGCCTGGCAAACAGTGGCTGTTTAATAAAATAAAACATTCATTTTAATCATTAAATTTTATGATTAATTAATTAATTCAACACACATTTATTGTACATTTGCCATGTGCTGGATTTCGAGAATATAAAGTCAACCACATGTGGTCTCTGACCTCAAAGAGTTTACAGTCTAGCATGGATGATGGATATGGATATAAATAATTACAATAAACTAAAATCAGATGTGTGCAAACTGCACAGTAAGACTGAAGATGAAGTGGTTAATTCACCTGGAAGAGGTCAGAAGGCCCCATGATTGGAGAATCCTTAAACAAAGCACTTAAAAAAAAATCATCAGAGAAGTTGAAAAGGGCATTCCAAGAGGGAAGGATGCATGTAAATGCATGGAATGTGATCAGGTATTTTTTTTTTATCATGTATTTTAAAAACTAAAAGTTAACTAGTAAAGGTGGAGTATAAGGAATGCATGGGGAAGTTATGGAAGATGAGGGTAATAAAGTAGTCAGGGGACAGATCACAAGGACTCTGCCAGCCTAAGACATTTTGATAATAGTCTTAAGTTCTGAGGAGTTGCTAAAAAGGAGTGACATGATCAGAATGGCATTTTAGAAAGGCCAATCTAGGCCCTGGTCAGTTAGCTCAGTTGGTTAGAACATTGTTCCAATATTCCAAGGTTGTGGGTTCAATCTCCAGTCAGGACACATACAAGAAGCAACCAATGAATGCATAAATGAGTGAAACAACAAATCAATGTTTCGCTCGCTCTCCCTTCCTCTCCCTCTTTCTAAAATCAATAAATAAAATTAAAAAAAAAAACAAGAAAAGAAAGGCCAATCTAGCAGCAAAGTAAAGTAAGAGCTAGATGGGAGAAACCCTGTAAACTAGTAATCCCATTAACAGGCAATTAAAACAATCTGAAAGATGAGGAATGGCAAGACATAGTCCTGGAGCCAGATAAGGAATGGATTTGAGAGAACTTTAGAAGGTAAAAGTCTTGGGTCCTAGCCATTGTGGTTCAGTTGGTCGGGCACCCTCCCATGCTCCGAGAAATTGCAGGTTCAATTCCTGGTCAGGGCACTCCCCTGGGTGTGGGCTCAATCCCCAGTTGGAGGCATGCAGGAGACAGCCACTCTGTTTCTCTCTCCCATTGATGTTTCTCTCTCTCTCTCTCTCTCCCTCTCCCTCTAAGAAGTCAGTAAAAACATATTTTTTTTTAAAGAAAGTAAAAGTTCTTGATACTTGGGATATAGTTGGATGTTGGGGATAAAAGGGAAGTAAAAAACAACTATATTTATAGCCTGGGGGGAAAGGCTGCATGGTAGTATTCCATTGTATAAATGTATCACTTTTTTTTTTTTTATCACTCATGTACTGATGGGCACTTGGGCTGTTTCCAGATCTTGGCTATTGTAAATAACACTGCTATGAATATAGGGGTGATGTATTCTTTCTTACTATACGGCTGTGAAAAAGAAGGAACTCTTACCCTTTGTGATGGCATGGATGAACATGGAGATTATTATGCTAATTGAAATAAGCCAGAGAAAGACACCACCATATGATCTCACTTATATGTGGAATCTAATAAGATAAACTGACAAACAAAATAGGACAAGAGGCACGGAAACATGGAACAGACTGGCAGATCTCAGAGGGAAGGGGTGTGTAGGGAACTGAAAGAAACTAACCGAAGAATATATATGAATATATGTATAGCCCATGGACAGACAACAATGTAGTTAAGACTGGTGGTGGGGAGGTTGGGGGGCTGGGTGGAGGGGGGGGAAAGAGGGAGGAAAGGGAGGACATCTGTAACAGTGTCAACAATAAAAAAAAGATGCATCATAGTACAATTAACTATTATTAGCCCCGGCCAGTGTGGTTCAGTGGTTAGAGTGTTAGCCCACGCATCAAAGGGTTATGAGGCACATGCGGGACGCAACCAATCGATATGTCTCTCTCACATTGATGTTTCTCGCTCTTTCTCTCCCCACTCCCTTCCTCCCTTCCACTCTCTAAAAAAATCAATGGAAAAAAATATCCTTGGTGAGCATTAACTAACTAAATAAAATAGCTTATTGGTTGTCTATTATGTATCAAATACTAGATATTCAAAAATAAATTATATCCAATCCCCATCTTTATGCAGCTCAAAGTCTAGTGGTGGTGAAATAGCAAAACAGTTACAATATAATAAAATGCAAAAATAATATTGCTGTACTGAATTCTGTCTTTCCAAAATTCATATGTTGAAGCCCTAACTCTTAGTGTGACTGTATTACATACAGGGCCTTTAAGAAGGGATTAAGTTAAGTGAGGTTATAAGACTGGAGCCCTGATCCCATAGAACTGATGCCTTTATGAGGAGGAATAGAGCCCTGGCCGTTTGGCTCAATGTACAGCATCAGCCCGAGGACCGAAGGGTCTAGGGTTCAATTTCCAGTCAAGGGCATGTACCTTGGTTGCAGGTTCAATCCCCAGCCCCAGGCAGGGTCGTGCAGGAGGCAAGCAATTGATGTGCCTCTCACATCGGTGTTTCTCTCTCTCTCTCCCTCCCTTCCTTCCACTCTATCTCGAAATCAATGGAAAAATATACTCAGGTGAGGCTTAACAAAGAAAAAAAAGAGGGCCCTGGCCAGTTTGGCTCAGCGGTTAGAGCGTCAGCCTACGGTCCACAGAGGCCCAGGTTTGACGCCGCTAGGGTACTTCGGTTGCAGTTGGTCCCCCGCCCTGGTTGGGTTGCGCGAGTGGTGGCCACTCGGTGTGTCCCTTTCATGTCAATGTTTCTTTCTCTCTCTCCCTCTTCCTCTCTCTCCCTCCCGCTCTATCTGAATAAAAAAGTGGAAAGGTGTCCTCGGGTGAGGATAAAAAAAAAAGAAGAGGAACAGACACCAGAGCTCTCTCTCTACCGTGTGAGGACACAGCAAGAAGGCAGCCATCTGAACGCCAGGAAGGGTCCTTCTTCACCAAAACCTGATCATGCTGCACCCTGATCTTGGGACTTACAGTCTCCAGAACTGTGAGAAAATAAATTTCTGTTGTTTAAGTCACTCAGTTCATGGTATTTTGTTATGGCAGCCCGAGCTAACCAATATAAATGTTATGTACACATTCTGGGTGAATTTCAAGGAAAGAGTAATCATGATGTCAAATGCCACACAGAGGTCTAGTAACTAAAGATCGGTGTAGTAAATAGGCCGTTGATGCCATTCGTGAGAGTGATTTCAGTTGATTAGTAAAGAAGACTGAGTTGGACTACAGACTTTTCTAGTGAAAAACAAAAAGAAAGTAATGAGGGAGAACAAGTCTTACCCCACATTAAATCATGATAAAATGATAACTATTACTTCAATGTGGCATTACTATAAAAAGCATGTACCAAAAACTCAAATAAATGACCAAGAGACATCTTTGTATATATGTGTGTATGTAAATTCAATACATAACTTTAAACGTCACCACAAATCAGTTTTAGTTTTTAAGTTTAGGTTTATAATCATTTGGAGTTAATTTTTGTATGGTATGAAGTATGGGTCAAGACTTTAAAAAAAAATCCTCACCCGAGGATATTTTTCCATTTATTTTTAGACAAAGTGGGAGGGGGAGAGAGAGAGAGAGAGAAACACTGATGAGAGATACACGGCTGGTTGCCTCCCGCACGACCCCCACCAGAACCTGCAACAGAGGTACGTGCCCTTGACCAGAATCGAACCCACAGCTCTTCAGTCTGTGGGTTGATGCTTTAACCTTTGAGCCAAACAGGCCAGGACTCAAGACCCTTTTTTATATGAGTCTTTAATTGTTCCAGGATTGTTTGTTGAAAAGCCTATCCTTTTTTTTTCTTTTCTTTTTCCTGTTTGGATAACCTCCGCCTTACTCCTTTTGCCACCGACTAGCCTTTTCTCAACTGCTGAAAATCAACTGGCCAAATACACTAATCTATGTGTCTATCCATTCACTTATACTGTACTAACTTTTTAGTTTTAAATCAGATAGTGTGGCCGTACAACTTCTTTGTTCATCTTTGTCAACTTATTATTTTGTGTCTATTCCAGCCCCTTTATTGTTCCATATACATTTGTAAATATGTTTAAAAAAATTTTTTTTTCCTTCACTGATTTTAGAGAGAAAGGAAGGGAAAGGGAGAGAGAGAGAGAAACATCGATGAGAGAGAACATCGACTGGCCGCCTCCTGTATGCCCCCCACTGGGGATTTGGCCCACAACCTGGGCATGTGCCCTGACCAGAAATCGAACTGGTGACCTCTTGGTGCATGGGTCGACGCTCTACCACTGAGCCACATTAGCCGGGCTGTTCCATATAAATTTTAGAATCAGCTTGTTTATATATACAAAAAGTCTGGTAGGATTTGTATTGGGATTTAAGCTATAGATCATTTGAGGAGAATGGACCATCTTAACAAAATAGAGTACCCCCAATCAATAAACATAGTCTATCTTCCCCTTTCTTTAGGTTTTCTTTATTTCATCTGTGTTCTATAGTTTTCAACATAGAAATGTTGCATATATTTTGTAAAGTTTATACTTATTCATTTAATGTTTTTTGGTCTTACTATAAATGGTACTTTAAAATGTGTTTCTGCCCTGACCAGTTTGGCTTAGTGGTTAGAGTGTCGGCCTGCGGACTAATGAGTTGTGGGTTCGATTCTGGTGAAGGGCCCATACCTCAGTTGTGGTTCGTCCCGGCCCTGGTCAGGGTCCTGCAGGAGGCAGCCAGTTGATGTGTCCCTCTTACGTCGATGTTTCTCTCTCTCCCCCTTTCTCCCACTCTATCTGAAGATAAATAGAAAAATATCCTCGGGTGAAGATTAAAAAAATAAAATAGGCCCTGGCCAGTTTGGCTCAGCAGTTAGAGCATCGGCCTGTGGTCTGGAGAGACCAGGGTTCGGTTCCCGCTAAGGGCACGTACCTCGGTTGCAGTTCGTCCCCGGCCCTGGTTGGGTTGTGTGGGTGCCGACCACTTGATGTGTCCCTTTCACATTGATGTTTCTCTCTCTCTCTCTCCCTCCCACTCTATCTGAACAAAATATTGAAAAATGTCCTCGGGTGAGGATCAAAATAAAATAAAATAAAACAAAATAAAATGAAATGAAATGAGATAAAATAAAATAAAATAGAGCTCTCCCTCCCAGAGGGAGCACACCTGTGCCTTTCCCCTCCCCCACTTTCCTCTCCCCTCCTCTCCCCTCCCCTTCCCAAGTTTATAAATAAATAAATAAATAAATAAATAAAATGTGTTTTTATTTCCAAATATTCAATACTAGTACATAGAAGTTAAATTGACTTTTTGTATAACGACCTTGTGTCCTGTGACCTTGCCAAACTCGCTTCTTAGTTATAGTAGCTTTATTATAGATTCTTTGGGATATGCTACCTAGACAATCATGTTGTCTACAAATAGAGGCAGTTTTGCATCTTCTTTTCTAATCTCTAAGCTTTTTCTTTCTTCTCCTGCATCTACGTTCATCAGATACTGATTTTGGAATCAGGATAAAATAAAATGTGTTAGGAAGTGTCCCTTCTCTTCTGTTTTCTGGAAGAGTTTGTATAAAATTGGTGTTATATTTTTTCTTAAGTGAACCCATCTGATTCTGAAGTTTTCTTTGATGGATGGGACATTTTAAACTACAAATTCAATTTTTATAACTATAAACCTATTCAGCTTATCTAGTTCCTCTTGAGTAAGTTTTGGTAGTTTGTGTCTTTCCAGGAATTTATAAATTTCATCAAAGTTGTCAAAATTATGTGCTTAACATTGTTTGTTCCTTAAGTATGCATTTAATGTCTAATGCATTTAATGTCTATAAGATCTATAGTGATGTTCTCTCTTTCATTTCTAATAGTAATTTGTGTCTTTCTTCTTCTTTTTTTCCTTGGGCAGTCTGGGTTTAGGTTCATCCATTTTAATACACTTTTCAGAGGACTAGTTTTTTGTTTGACTGATTTTATTCTAATTTTCTGTTTTTGGTCTCATGCATTTCCATTCTTATATTTATTAGTTCATTCCTTCTGCTTCCTTTGGGTTTAATTTACTCTTCTTTTTCACACTTCTTAAGGTAGATGTTTACATCATTAGGGTATCATTGATTGGAGACCTTTTTTCTTTTCTAATGTATTTAATGCTATGAATTTTCCTCTAAGCAGTGCTTTTGCTGCATCCCATGAATTTTTTTTTTTAATTTATTTTCTTTATTGCTTTTAGAGAGGGAGGATGGGAGAGGGAGAGATAGAAACATCGATGAGAGAGAACATAGACTGGCCACCTCCTGCATGCCTGGCTGGTGTGGCTCAGTCACTGAGCATCAACCCATGTACCAAGAGGTTGCCGGTTCAATTCCCGGTCAGGGCAGGTGCCCAGGTTATGGGCCTAATCCCCAGTGCGGGCCATGCAGGAGGCGGCCAGTGGATGTTCTCTCTCATCGATATTTCTATCTCTCTCTCTCTGTCTCCCTTCCTCTCTCTCTAAAAATCAAAAAAGTAAAAAGTAAAATGGATTTCTTATAAATGACATATAGTTTAATCTTATTTTTTCATCCAATTTGACAATCTCTAGTCTTTTGATTGATATGCTTAGATCATTTATATTTAATGTGCTTATATGTTTGATTAGGCAACAATAAAGTCAGCACTGATCTGACGAAAAGAATACTTGGTAAAAGTTAAACTAAAGGCTTGAATTGTGAATAGGAAGTAAAATGAAAAAAAAAGAACAAGTGTAGTCTATTCTTCAAGAAGTTTGATGTAGAGGAATAAAATAAATAAGTCAGTTGTTAGATGGCTAGCAAGTTACACAAGTTTTTGTACTGTCTTTTTTTTTTATCCTCACCCGAGGACATTTTTCCTTTTTTTTTTTGTTCAGGTAGAGTGGGAGGGAGAGAGAGGAACAGAGAGAGAGTGGCTGCCACCCGCACAACCAACCAGGGCCGGGGACAAACTGCAACCGAGGTACGTGCCCTTAGCGGGAACCGAACCCGGGTCTCTCAGGACCGCAGACCGACGCTCTAACCGCTGAACCAAACCGGCCAGAGCTGTACTTTCTGATGAGAAACATTTCAGCTAATTTTTGAATACGGATATTAGATTAACACCATAATTTACAGGCAGTGTGAATTTATGTGTAGTATTTTGAATACGTACTTAATGTACACAAAAGGATTTTTCCAGGGGAGAAATTTATTAGAGTTTTGAAAAAGAATTTCCAAATATTTAGACTTATCTACATTGGCAGTTTATACTAACCTACAGAAAGCACTGAAGAGGTAAAATAAACAGCCTTCCAAGACAACAAAAATGACTGTTTCAAAATAAGGCTGGAGAAAAAAAAAGTGAAAGTATTTTTGGTACTAACAAACTTTGTTTTATTCCCATTGCAGTTACTGCATTCAAAAGGCAAAGTTTATCTGGAGACTTGAGAATGCTAATTTATTTACTCTGCAGAAAAATTCTACCTTGAATAGTTGTACAAATATTTTAAGTGTTTTACTTTAGGTTTTGTTTATTAATGTTTTTTTTTCAATAGTATATGTAACAAACAAAACTGGTTATGTTCAATTTTTTACTATTTGGTTTTTGTAAATTACTTAGATACTTTTAGATTAGGTCTGGGTAAGCTATACAAGATAAAAAAAATGTGAAGAGTATTAAATCAAAAGGTAAGATACAGAGTAAAAAAAGAAATGATCAAACAGGGTAGATTTCTAACATGTTGGAATGAACCTGGGGAAAAAGTGTATTGAGGCCCTGGCCGGTTTGGCTTAGCGGTTAGAGCGTTGGCCTGCGGTCCAGAGAGACCCAGGTTCGGTTCCTGCTAAGGGCCCGCCAGTATCTCAGTCTCGGGCCCTGGTTGGTTGTGCGGGTGGCAGCCACTCGATGTGTCCCTTTCACGGCGATGTTTCTCTCTCTCTCCCTTTCTCTCCCTCCCACTCTGTCTGAACAAAAAATGGAAAAATGTCCTTGGTGAGGATTTTAAAAAAAAGTGTATTGAGTAGGCATAGAGCAGGAAAAAAACACACACAAAACTTCCTAGCCATGACCACTAGATGGCGCAACGATGTTGCAGGACTTAAACTGAATGACCTAAGCACTCAAAGTTTTAAGGAAAATCCCCAAAGAAATTAAACTTCTCTACACTAGGAAGAACTGGAATTGTCTGTGCTGTTTGGGTTGTAGGATGATTTGTGTGTGTATGATATTTGTGTGTATTTTTTTGTTTCATTATTTGTTTTGTGTGGTGTAAATGTTTTGAGCTTGTATATTTCCCCAAAATATTTTAGCCTCTCTGAGTCAACAGCATCCTCCACAAATGGTACTTGGAGTGATAGAGGTGATGATGATGGTATCTTCATACTCCTAGAATAACTCAATTCTAGATAGTATTGCTACAGAAACAACATATTAGAAAAATTAAGTACTACAAGAAAAAGTCTATCAGCAAATTATTTAGTAGCAATTAAAAATACTAAATGTCTGATCCAATAAGCTAGGAGACCTTACTGAGCAACAATGAGCACTTACTGGAATTAGGGGGCCAGGACTCCCGGTATTCACTACTTGTTTGAGTTCTGGGTGACTTGACCCGAACCTGGAGAGCCACACAAAAATCAGAAGAGTTATGACCAACAGGAGAATGCAACAAAGAAATTTAAATTTAACATGTGCACCTAAAATACACTCTTTCTACCATTATCTTCTTCCACAGTATATAAAATTGGACATATTTATCCTAACAATAATAATGCACATTTATAAAAGGCTTTCTAGTTTTCAATGCATTTCCCATATGTTTCTCCATCTAATGTGAGCTCATTCGGGGGTGGGGGTAGAGGGCAAGGAATAAGCAGTGAAGAGAGAACTGTGGGGCAAAGCATCACCGTTCATTAGACCGTAAACAGTTGCTAGGAGTAAGAGATATCCCGAATTCCCTCCCTGGATTGTCAAACCATGATGAAGAGGAAAACCGAGGAGAAAATCATCTGTAACCTTTGGCAGGGTCTCATCTTTTAGCATTGCCTTCCTCTAAATTAAAATTGATAAAATTAAGCTTCTTCGGGATCTTGCCTAAGAGAAACACCATAGAAAGAGGATTACCCTTCTTTCTTGCTTCTTCTGGGTCTCCATGACATGCAGGCGCTCCATGAGACTGGAGATGCCCTGCTCCAGGCTGTCGATGGTGTGGTGCTGAGGGTCGTGGCCACTGAAGCTGTTGCGCAGGCTGCGGAGGGCGTCGCGAACAAGCTGCAGGTCACTGGTCTGTGGGCAAGAGTGAGGTGCTGCTGGCGTGGTGCAGTGTCAAATATATATTTTTAATCCTCACCCGAGGACATTTTTCCATTTTTGTTCAGTGGGAGGGAGGGAGAGAGAGGGAGAAACATCGATGTGAGAGAGGCACATCGACCGGTTGCCTCCTGCACGACCTGACCAGGGCTGGAACTGAACTGCAACTGAGATATGTGCCCTCGACTGCAATCGAACCCCTGACTCATTGGTCCACGGGCTGATGCTCTAACCACTAAGCCAAACCAGCCAGAGCCATATTATTAACCACATCCCAACCACTGCGCTTAAGAAGACATAGGGGGGAGGTTTCCAGAATAGATCTTTTAGTTTTGAGGGAGGAGGTATGAACTATAGGAAGTGTTCCTCCACAGAAGTGGGCCTACTGTTTGCCCACTAATTCTTGATTTTGGATAATAAGTACCTCACATCTTTACATACCCACAGATGCAAGAATTAGGGAAGTGGGATGTAAAAAGCCTAGTCCACCGGCAATGGCTAAGGTACTCTTCTGGTTTTAGCTGGAAGCAGCAGGTCTGTACTCAATCTTTTTAAAAAAAAATTTTTTTCTTTACTGATTTTAGAGAGAGAGGAAGGAAAGAGAGAGAGAGAAACACTGATGAGAGAGAACATCAACTGGCTGCTCCCTGCATGCCCCCCACTGGGGATCAGGCCCAAAACCTGGGCATGTGCCCAGGCCGAAAATCGAACCAGCGACCTCTGGTGCAGGGGTCGACGCTCAAGCACTGAGCCACACAGGTCGCACTGCACGCAAATGTTAAGAACCTACCCCTCTGGGCGTGATTGAAGCAGCTCCTTTCCCTGCCACTGGAGGGAGAAAACCATTGCTTTGAGAGTTGTGACTGGTGTAGTTGGCCACCTGCAGCAGCAAGAAGAAATGATGCTTGTTACGAGAGAATTCCAAACCAAGAGGTCCTGTCTTGTCTTTCTTACTTTTTTTTTTATTCCTCACCGGAGGATACTTTTCTATTTATCATCAGACCGAGTGGGAGGGAGGGGGAGAGAGAGAGAGACAGAGAGAAACATCGCTGTGATAGAGCCACATCGACTGGCTGCCTCCCACATGACCTGACCAGGGCTGGGGATAAACCAGGTACGTGCCCTTGACCAGAATCGAACCAGGGACTCAGTGGTCCACAGGCCGATGCTCTAACTGCTGAGCCAAACCAGCCAGGGCTCTTCCTTACATTTATCACTTCCTGGCATACTGTATATTTGTTTCACGTCTCTCTCTATTACAATATGAGCTCATGAGTGCAGAGAGTTTTTCCCTTTGTTCACCAGGCACTGTTGAATATAGAATGAACACAATGGAAATCTCAGCCTGTTGGCCCCAACCAGCTCTGCCTGGCCACCAGAAGGCCTAAGAATGCTGCTCCCACACCTCCGGCCTTTGCTCCAGTAATTAAAAAATAAGGACAGTGACTAACATTTCTTGAGCCTGATTCTGTGCTGGGTGGATCTACAAGGGCTGTGTTTAGTTATCTGCCTGGATTATCTTACGTGTTCTTCATAATGGTAGAGAGGGCCACTTCTGTTTTCCAGATGAGCCTTATTTCTAAGGTTCAGAAGCTAAGCAAATTAAGGTCACACAATGGTCAGACGTGGTCAAGATGGGCTCTGAAACCAAATTTTCTTATTCTGGAATCTGCATTCATAGCCCCCTCACCAAACTGCCTCCTAACAAACCAACCTGTGGTCTTGGTTCTGTCCTGAGTCAGAAAGAGAACCCTCTCTTTGCCCTTGTAAATGTGGGAGGGAGACCCCAAGCTGGAGTTACCTCATCTGCCTCTCTCTTCATACAGTGAGCCAAAAGGACATCTTTGTGCTCCAGCTCCCGCTCTAGATCCACCTGTAAACCAGAGACTAAGTCAGCAGAGCATTTCTTCCGGCCGCAGGGCAGGAAAGCCAGCAGCTGAAGATGTCCCCACCTGCTGGTAACTGGCCTCGGAGAGTTTCCGGAGTGCTTCCTCCAGCTTGGCCTGGTGGTGCTGGAGGAGGCGGTCCTTCTGCCCCAGCTCTTTCTGCAGTAGAGAGAGAGCTCAGATGTGGGCAAAGCCAAGGATGTTGAGCAGTTCACCCTTTGCGATGCACTTTCCACAGGAGGAAAGCCGAGCATTGGGGGAACAGTCCTTCTTCAAGCTACACCCGGAAGACATCACACATCACAGCAGTCTTGCACAGCGCAAAGGATTCTTGGAAGGGTCAGGAGAAAGGGAACTACTGTGTGGAGAAGGACCACTACATGCTATCCATGCTAGTCAGATATAAAGGTTAAGAGTGAACTGAAGTTTCCACACTCCTAGTTCTGTGCTGCTTCTCCTAGCCATGCTCTCTATCTTCAGGGTTAGTGAATCCGGGGAACACAAAAAAGGATTCCCTGGCCAAGGGTAAGGATACCAGAGTACTTTCAGTGGTTCTCAACGTTCCTAATGCCACGACTATTTAACACAGCTCCTCATGTTATGGTGAGCCCCAACCATAAAATTATTTTTGTTGCTACTTCACAACTGTAATTTTGCTACTATTATGTCTTAGGCGACCCCTGTGAAAGGGTCGTTCGACACCCAAAGGGGTTGCGACCCACAGGTTGAGAACCTCTGAGTCTTAAGTGCTCTTTGATCAACAGCAACAGTGGGCTGTTCATAAAAGGTCAGATGGAAATCATTTCCAAACTGATGTTCATTCTTACTTTGTATTCTCCCAAGAGCCGGTTCCTCTCATCCAGCTTCCTCTGCAGATCCACCTGCAAGAAGGATAAGGATTCACTGGCATGCAGGTTGTCTGCCAGCCCCACAGGAAACCAGCTACTCAGTAACCAGAGTTCACGGGACAAGCACAGAGAGGGCATGGCGACGGTGAAAACACACAGCTGCTCTCCATGTCTCTAGTCAGACAGACTGTAGAATCACAATGCAGCCTCAGTGTCTGTGTCCTCAGAGTTGAAGGGCTTTCCCCTGGGAACAGAGACGAGTCTTACAGGGAATAAAATAATTGCAGACACTGAGAGCAGACAACCTGAAATTAAGATAGTTGAGTTTAGGATAGCAGATCTAACAGGACTTCATTTTGCTCCTGGGGTTCAGTGAGGTCAGAGTTCATTCATTTAACTCACATTCTGGTTGTGCAGCTCATCTTTGTCCATATTTGCCCGCAGTAGTTCTTGTTTGAGCTGAAGAACAGATGTGTCCTGCTGAGTCAACCTCTGCTGCAAGGCATCCTGCGGGAACAAGCATACTAATTATCGTGGTCCCAACTAAGCAAGCAGCCAGTTATTACTAAAAGTTACTGAGCCCCTCACTGCGTACCCAACATTAGTCTGGCTAGGCAGGGTGGAAGTGACTTCAGGGACTGCCCCAGGAGATGAGCGGGGGTTTTTCTGCCCCTTTCCAGGACAGTAGCATCTAAAGGAAAGTCCTGTCCACTGTCCTAAGCTGAATGAAACCTGATTTTTCCTCCACCTAGTACTCACCATCGCCCTCTACTTCATTCCTGACAGCATCTGTCCTGGAGAGAGATTTTTGGGCTCAAATAGACTTAGGTTCAAATTACAAGTCTACCACTTACTTTCATGACCGTGACCTTGGGTGATGCACTCTCCTTCCTCCCACCCTGGATTTCTTGTCTGTATCTTGGGCATATACTCAATCTACCTCTCTGCCGACTCCCTATTTCCTAGAGGGCTGGGACCTATGTCTTCCTGCCACCCTATTCATACAGCAGCCCTGCCTGCCAGAGCCCACCTGCCAGGGCTTCCATGCCTAATGTGGACCAGGACTGGGAATATATTTCCCTGCTCAGAACTGTGCTTGGTCTAATGGTTCCTCTTCCCGGTATCTTAGCATCTTACCAACTTTAGGCTATTTTTCTCTCAGCTTGGACCCACTCCAACCATGGTGACCTCCAATGGAACCATGGACTGGAGCTACATTCCGGTACATTTACCCTGACTTTCCTCTCTTTACCACCCTCGCAGAGAAACGGCGCGGCTCTGGAGAATGTGGGCCCATCCCTGAATGTGCCGTCTGCCACGATGGCCCCCGGCAAGGGTAGTCTCAGAGCCCTGGCTTCAGCGGCTCAGAGGAGCATTTCTCAAAGTGCGCCCCACGACAGAAAAACGCTTCTGTAGTTAATTATTCTAAAAACTTTTTAGGGCCAACTTCTTTATGAGAAACCTCCTCCGGTCTTTTAATATGTTACTAGTCACTGTGACTCTTCACGTTGGTAGGGCAGCTTTCAAATTTACTTTATCATAGAGCACGTTTGTTTCCTGAAATATCTCAAAGGACCAAGGCTCGGAAACATGCCCTAGTCTAGCCCACGGATACAAGTGGACGGAAGAGGGGAAGCAGCAGCCTAAGAACACCCCTTTCCACATCTAGGCATTTATACCGCAGGCATACTCCCACCTGGGTGAAATAACATGTATCCAAGGTTGTCAGCCATATCACTGTTTGTATGAGCAAAAGCAATGAAATAATCACATATACATATCCTGGCACACTGGGCAGCCACAGAAGGGCCTAGGAAGGTCTTTCGGGACTGAAATAAAATGGACTCCAAGATAATTGCTAAGTGAAGAGGAGTGGCGTGGCAAGCTGTATTTCCTGTATACTGTTATTTGGGGGGAAATTATATACATACATTTTTGTTGGTAATTGACAAGGCGTCTCCAGGAGAGAAAACTAGGTGACTGGGGGACAGGTCATTAGTCAGACTTTTCAAGGATTATCCTTTTGTACCTTTTTATCTTTAAACCATTTGAATATTATTAACTATTTGAAAACTGAATAAATTATAATTTTAAGAGGATGTTCTTCTTCAGCACTGAAGAAAATAGATAAAAATGGAAACTAAAGACAACTATGAGAACTGATTGTTTTTACAGAGAGAAACAAATAAGGCAGCACAGAGGGAAGCACCAGGAGGCACAACCCCCAGAAATAAGCCCCAGCAAAGTAGAGGTACACACTCCTTAGCACACCTCACTCCCACCCACAAAGCCCTCCCTCTGCTAACAGCACGGAGCCTGCCCACGGCCCCACCAAAGTGTACAAGGAAAGACTACAGGACCCATCCAGCCTCCTAGCACCCAGCAGACTACTTTACCTTGCAGTGAGTTTATTGAAAGAGTTAAATGTTTCTTTTTACCTTTATCCCCTGTAAGTTTCTGGCTTCTTGTTTACATTTCAGCAAGTCCTTCTGCAAACCAAATATACTTAGATCAGATAGGAGCAGCTGGGCTGCTTCAGAAGCATTACCTCATTCTGTCAGCAGAACACAGAACTCAGATAATCATTCCATGAAAAATTAACCCTCTGCTGAGGCAGAAAGCAGGTCTGGCCCAGTGAACAGCACAGGCTGACCGCAGAAACAAGAACAGGGCCACTGCATTCTGCCCTGTGGCAGCCAGGTTCACTGCCCAGGCAGCAAGGAGTCTTGCCAAGAAAGAAGCCAGCACACGTTCCCAGCGGCTCTCGTTCCTGTAGTCAGCGATCTTCACCACCAGGAAAACAGCCATGATGATCTAAATCCCTCTCTCTGGAAGATGTGATCATATCTCAGTATGCCTACCCCCAATGTCTTAAATGATTATCTTAGCTTCTGATGTTCAGGAAAGGGTTAGACTGCTTCTGATTCTCCAAGAGCATATCGTTCTTTATGGACCAAATAAAAACACATTTAGCCCAATAATGAAATACTAAGTAATTAACCCTCCGTTACAATAGATTAAATATACGCATATGACTGTCACTAGGAAAGAGATTGTAGGAGAGGAACACCCATACCTCAGACCCACTCTCTTCTTACTGCATCACATCATGAGTTAGAAGTGAACATATCTGAAATGGTAATGTTGACCTGGACTCCATGGATGGCTCCAAAGTTATGCCAATAAAATTCAAGTCAGTGAGTGTGTGTGCATGTGCTCTTGCATATTTCTGGGGAGAGGGTTAATGGCTTCAGTTATATACTTATGACTCCAAAAATATTAAGACCCACTGACCTAAAGGAATTCTGGGAAGTATTCATTACGAAAGAAACTGGACTACGTTTAATAATATTGTATTGTATATCTGAAAGTTGCTAAGAGAGTAGATCTTAAAAGACCTTATCACAAGAAAAAATGTGTAACTGTGTGTGGAGTCTAGTTAACTAGGCTCCACTGTGGTGATCATTTTGACATACGTGTATATATATATATAAAATATATGGAATCAATAAGTTGTTTATCTGAAACTAATGTTATATGTCATAATTAAAAAAGACCAGATTGATAATAGATCCAGTCTTTATTTTAATTAAAAAATAAAAAGGATGACCCTGGCCAGTTTGACTCAGCGGTTAGAGCGTCAGCCCGCAGACCAGAGAGTCCCGGGTTCGGTTCCTGCCAAGGGCACGTACCTTGGTTGCAGTTTGTCCCCGCCCTGGTTGGGATCATGTGGGTGGCAACCAGTCCATGTGTCTCTCTCACGTCGATGTGTCTCCCTCTCTCTGTTCCCCCCTCTCTCCCTCCCGCTCTATCTGAAGATAAATGCAAACGTGTCCTCAGGTAAGGATAAAAAAAAAAAACAAAATGACATAGATACCTATTACTCATTACTGAGATTAAAAAGATGTTACCTTTTTGCCATATTTAGGACATACTTGTCTCTTTCAATTAAAGGTATAATACACATACAAATACAGCCAGAGTCATGAGTTTGCATCCCTTCCCCTCTCCCTATTACTATCCTGAAGTTTGTGTGTAACATTCTCACAATTTTTTTCAAAGGTAAAGTGTACATGTCCTGACATACCTTTAGGTCCTGATTCTCCTCCACACTCTGATCCAGACGACTTTGGATTATAATCTGAATATAAGGCAAAAAGAGATGGTTACGCACCTATGCTATGAAACAAATACTGATTGAACACTTACTACTGGGCACACAAAGAAGAACAGAAAACAGCTCCCGCCCTCTAGTGGAGGCAGATGCCCAGGGTGATGGAAGCACATGAATATGGAAGAGTTTAGAATGAGTAAGTGAGTGTTGGGTGCAGGAGGTTGGGCAGGGAAACGGAAATAGCAAGGGATGAAGTTGGAGAGAAAAATAGGGGCCGGATCATAAAACGCCAGTGAGAGCGATGGGGAATCGATGGAAAGTTTTAGGCAAAGAGGTGACAAATGAAGTGTGCCTTAAAGGTAAATTATTATCACTGTTTTATAGAAAGTGAATTAGAGGAGAACAGGAGAGGAATCAGGAAAGCCAGTTAGAAGGTCACTGGAATACTGGGCATAGGGCTGAATTAAGGTTGTGGCTGTAAGGATGGAGAAAACTGGATGAAGTTATTTAAAAAAACAACTGACAAAACTTTGTGACTAACTGGACGTAGAAGGGTCAGAAAGACCTCAAGGATGACATTTAGATTTCTGTTCGGAGTATTTGGCTACATGGATAGTGATAAAAAACAGGATCCAAAAGGACAAGTAGTTTTGGTGAAGGCGGGAGAAGGGGAGAAAAGCTGTTTAATTTGGGGTTCAGTGGAATGGAGAGACATAGGGGTACCAAAGTGGAGGCGATCTGAAGGCAGCCGCATGCTGCATACATACACCCAGAGCTCACAGGGCGAGCTGAGCGAGGAGCAAACATGAGACACAAGGTCTGCGCCGGGGGAAGGGGATGAAGCACGGAGGCGGCTATCGGCTATCGCCCTGGGCTGATGTGCGAGACCAGGGGGGCCCAGGGGGGCCCAGAGCGGCCTGACAGCACCAGCACTCACAGCACAGGCAGAAGATGGGGACTGGGTGTGAACTCCAGGAGGGTGGAGTCCTAGGCCTGTTTTTCCATTAGCAAATCTCCAGCACCCTGAGGCAGTGACTGGCACAGAGTGGGCCCTCAATAAATATTTGTTGATTGGATGAATGAAAGGAAGCAAAAAAGAAAAATACTCTAAAATATAAGAGGAAAACCAGGAGCCTGGCCGGTGTGGCTCAGTGGATTGAATGTCGACCCATGCACCAAGAGGTTGTTGGTTCCATTCTGATTAGGGCACATGCCCAGGTTGTGGGCCCAGTCCCCAGTGGGGGGCATGCAGGAGGCAGCCAATCGATGTTCTCTCTCGTTGATGTTTCTATCTCTCCCTTCCTCTCTTTCTGAAATCAATAAAGGAAAAAAAAAGGAAAACCAGGAGAGTTGGAGTTAGGGAAGAGAGCATTTATTTATTTATTTATTTATCCTCACCCGAGGACATTTTTCCATTTTTTGCACAGATAGAGTGGGAGGGAGAGAGAGGAAGAGAGAGAGAGAGAGAGAAACATCGACGTGAAGGGACACATCGAGTGGCTGCCACCCGCACGACCGACCAGGGCCGGGGACAAACTGCAACCGAGGTACATGCCCTTAGCGGGAACCGAACCCGGGTCTCTTCGGACCGCAGGCCGACGCTCTAATCGCTGAGCCAAACCGGCCAGGGCGGGAAGAGAGCATTTAAAGAAGGTGCAGACAACAGGGTCAAATGCTAAACACAAATCAAATATATTATGAATCGGATTATTTGGTGGTGTCACAAAAGAAAGGGCTTACCAGTTGTTCCTCGGGACTGACCCCTGGTTCACAGCGCGCCAAGGGCCTCTCCTGTTCATCTTCAGGTAAGGACCCATTGAGCAGTAAGGCCTGAATAACCACAAGGGCAGAAAGAAACTTAATTCCCATCAGAAAACAGTCTAGGATTGGCTTGGTAGGCTCATCCCATATTGAAATCACAACTGGGCTTCCTCTAGAAACTTCCTTGGTAATTTTTGATCCTGCTCCTTAGGTACCTCCAATTGTTCATGTTGGGTGTCTCTGCAGTTCCTCTGGTCAGGCTGATGCTCTAGGCCTTTCATCTCTCTAGAATCACCTGAATCCTCTGCCCCAAGGGTCCTCGGCCCCAGCAAATGATCTAAATAAACATTCCTCTCAGAAGTGGCATTCCAAACCAGAGCCACTCAAACTGAATTTTGCCAGCTGGGAAGTGAACTAAAAGCAGTTTAGAATTTCTTGGCATACAAAAGTTTATTATAATAAATTAGTTAGAATTTAAAGCACTGACTTGGATTTGCTTTAATAATTCTGCATTTTCACTCCCTAAGGCAACCTGGACAGAACAAGAGGGAAAACATATTTGCAGAGAAATATGAGCACTCATTTCCACTCCCCACACCAGGCTCTGTCTTCATTACAATATGGCAGGGGAGGGAGCAGACTTACCCTGAAGCTAAAGGAAGCTCCAACCCCAGGCCCCTCACCTGTACTGCCTTCCCAAGGTTTTATATCTAAAATCATATGCATAATCTGTAATCTTAGTCTTAAAGACGGCCTCCTAAATTGTGTACTTTTGGACTCACAGAACTTGGATCTACGCCTGCAGATAGGTATCATGAGACCTACCAGCTGAATGAAAGATTTAAAAATGTGTCGTCATTTTACGTCATGCAATTTTCTCAATCCAGAGAAGAGTTACAGAGGTTAAATCCTGTTTTAATAAATACAGCAAAAATTACACCACAAATGTTGATATATAAAAATCCAACCACTGCCCTCACTGGTGTGGCTCAGTTGGTTGGAGCATAGTCCCATGCACCATAGGGTCACAGGTTCAGTTCCCAGTCAGGGCACATACCTGGCTTGTGAGTTCGATCCCTGATTGGGGTGTGTACCAGAGGCAACTGATAGATGTTTCTTTCTCTCTCTCTCTCCCTCTCCCTTCCTCTCTCTTTAAAAAAAAAAAATCAGCCCTGGCCAGTTTGGCTCAGCGGTTAGAGCGTCGGCCTGCGGTCCTGAGAGACCCGGGTTTGGTTCCCGCTAAGGGCATGTGCCTCGGTTGCAGTTTGTCCCCGGACCTGGTTGGTCGTGCGGGTGGCAGCCACTCGATGTGTCCCTTCACGTCGATGTTTCTCACTCTCTCTCCCTTCCTCTCTCTCCCTCCCACTATGTCTGTACAAAAAATGGAAAAATATCCTCGGGTGAGGATAAAAAAAAAAAAAAATCAGTAAAAAATGTACTGGTTTAAAAAATTCCAACCACTGGTTGGTCTACCAAGCGCTAATTAATAATAAAAGTTTAGTAAATCAAATTAATGTGTTTACCCCATGGAGTTATGGCAAGAGGTACAGACAACTGTAAGAAGTCAGAGCTGCAGGGAGCTAAGCTAAGAGGGGGCGACATTACAGAAAGACAGCTTGGTGGCAAAGTGTTCGGTGGGTTCTAACTAAGGCTGACTAGTAAATCAGACATCCTGGGTGTGGTTTCACATTCAAGTTGTTCACCACCAAAGGAGTTAAGAAGCCCAGTGGATGCTGTGAGCCCCACTGTATTCTGTGATGGAACTGAATTCTCACTGTGATCGGGTGGCTCACTGTGAATTCCATCCTCTGTTTGCTGAGAATATCAGGATGCTGACTTTCTGCCTATCGATTCTTTTCTTTTTCTGTCTAATCTGCCATCGGATTTCTCCCAGACCGAAAAACGCAAATCAAACTGAAAGCCAAACTGCTGGATATCTATGTTCATATAATGAAATTATCCGGGGGGAAAACCTGGTTGGGTGTAATCCCAAAGTTTTCCATGTTTTAATACTTTCAATTAAAGGACAACACACATACAAACCATTCCATTAATTAAACCATTCCTTAACGGAGTGGCAGAAAAGAGATCTAAAAGGCAGATCTTTTAAAAATACAGAGAAAATGGGGGAAATCAACAACTCTCCTTGGAGGAATGTTTTGGCAGCAAACCCCTCTCAGTGCCTGGGGCACACATTATGCAAATGGTTTTGCCACAGCACCAATCTCCGTTTTTCTTCAGGAACCCTTTGTCCCCTCCCTGCTGCGGGCTGGCTGGGAGCACGCCCTCCACCGCCTGTCGGCTGCCAGAGCCACTCACATAATGTGGGCTTTGTTTGCAGCTCCATAAATATTTGACAATTCAGAAGTAATGCAGTTCCCAGCACAAACAGAAAGGAATATTTCTAGGCAGTTTCAGGGTCATCAGCATACTACAAGGACTCCACCAAATAGAGACAGATGCATAAAGACAGAGGGTTGAGGGGTCATTTCAGGGTAGAAACTAAGTCAAATGGGTCAGCTGGCCTCTGGGAGATTTCCTGAGCTGGCACTGAAAGCATAGGAAAAACTGAAGGGCTTTGCTGCTCACAGAAAACCTCTCTAACCTGATCATCAAGACTTGGCATCCACTTGCAAACACATTAGGAGTGAGCTGAATTCCTTAGCTAGATCCAGAGACCTATGGCATTACTGGCTCTTGCACCTTCCCTGAAGAACTCCTCGGGACAGTCCTGACTCTTCACAGTGCCATTACTTGGTGGAGGCTGCAACTGCAAGTGTGGGGCGCAGGGAGGGCAGGGACCCCCCTGGAAGCAGAGAGCCGGGATAGGGCCGGGCAGGCTCCGCGCAGGCTCCCAGGCGTGCAGAGCTCCTGACAGTCGTGTTGTAAACAAGAGGGCAGATGGTCCATGTAAGAGGACTGTACTCACATAAAAGGAATTTTCTGCCCTTTGTGTACTACTCCCTCCATCTAAACCCCCCATTCAACTCTGACCTCACACGAAACTGTCAGTTTATTTTCAATTGGTACCAGTGACTTAAGAATACTAATCAGTTGATGAACCAAGATGAACAAAGAGGGAAAGAGCTACCTGTAATCCTGATATCATTTTCTTGGCTTCCTCCATTTCTTTTTCTAAATGTTCTTGTTGTTCCAACAGCTGTTCTTCCCATGAAGCCTCCAGACAGGTTGCGGGGCTACCTGGTGGCCAGTCTCTGGATAATGGGGAGTCTGTCTCTACAAAATGAAAGGAGGGAGCACAGTTCATGTCGAAGAAACGGAGTTTCCGGCAGACAGCGTTCACAGTCCTCGCGTTCACAGGTTCAGGTCACCTGCCTACTGAACCTGTTCTCACTGCACAATCTGGACTCGCCACCAGGTGGAGTTGTGAGACATAAAGAATTGGCAATTAACTCAGGCCCCGGCACTTACTCTGTTGGGGAAATATATCCGCTCCAGCAGTTTAGGAAGCAATAAGACCTCCTCTTTGGGAGTCTCGGTATAGGACATAAGATTTTACTATTAATGCTCTAGAACTGGCATTCCCAGAGCTTGATCCTGCCAGGTACAAAGAGGGAAGCTGCCAGAGGCAATGAAAACAAAATTCCTGTTGTTTGCTCTGGAGCCTCAGAAGGGAGACCTCAGCCCAATACTCCTTTGACCATTCTGTCTTAATTGACCCCTTTCACAGATAAGTGTCTCATACAGGAAAGGAACCAGTAAAACATATTTGCACAAGTTGTTTAATCAATCTCTCTCTCTCTCTCTCGTTTTATTTTCCTGCCTTTACAATCTCTTTGCTCTGACTTCATTCATAAAAGTGAATATAGTAAGTCTAATCCCTCTGGGTGGTTGTGAAGATTAAATGAGGTCACTTCTGCACAGGGCCACGTGGTTCCTGGCCCAGAGCAGGCACTCAATAATGCTCTCCCTCTCCCTCCCCAGGGTCCCAGGAGGGTCTGACTCAGTAACATGACTTACTCTGATACTAATGCCGGGCTAGATGGGGAATGCTACAAGGAAGAATTTAACCAGTCTTTCTTCTGAGGGCTTCAGTTTTACTGTATCACCTGATAGGTGAATAAAACTCTATCTAAATCACGTTTTTACTTCTTCCATTTCCCCCTCTATGTTTATGTAAGTAAACAGACAGCGGCTGGAACAGAGGAAGGAGAAGTCTGAACAAAGGGAACTGCTGTGGTCCTTTCCGTAGACCTCATACCAAGCCTGATGGAGACCCGCTCTCCCGTATGTCCTCAGACACCTCAGCCCCTCCTCTATATTCCTGCTCCCAGTTTAAGTTAGGGAAGTACTGAAATTATTTGCATAACACAGAAATAATAGAAAATATCTACTTGAGTAAGGCTTCTGATTGTTCAAAAGTCATTTCCTAATTCACAGACAGCTGACCGCGGAACAACCTGCAAGATTTTTGACAGCTGAGACATCGAAAGTGACATTCTTTAAGGGGATAACTACATTAATTGGCTCTAATGCATCAGAGCCCTCTAGCTGAGCCTGTACAGACTACGGAGGGCTCAAGCCAGGGAGCTTATAGGTAGATAGTTAGGACCCCCGAATTCTTCAGGCTGAGGGCTCTTCATTGAGCCAACCCAGGCAGGCTGAGAAATAGTACCTGTCCTGTTCTCTATTCCTTCAGAGGGAATAATCACAAAGTCTGCCTTCTCCTCTGACTGGGTGATAATGGATTCACTCTTGGCACTGTGGATAGGACTGGGTGAAGTCAGGCTGTGATGAAAGGAAGAGAAACAATTATTATGAACAGTTGTTTAGAAGCCAACTTTCATAATTTATCCCAGAGACATGTTCTTATTCATCTTATTCCTACTGCCTAACACAGTACCCAGACCACAATAAGAACAAATTGTTGTTGCTGTTGTTTAAAAAAAAATTTAAATTGATTTTAGAGAGAGAGGAAAGGAGAGGGAAAGAGAGATAGAAACAGCGATGAGAGAGAACATTGACTGGACATCTCCTGCATGCTCCCTACTGGGGATCTGGCCCACAACCTGGGCATGTGCCCCGAATGGGAATTGAACCGGAGACCTCTTGGTGCATGGGTCGACGACGCTCAACCAGTGAGCCACACTGGCCAGGCAAGAATAAATATTTGTTGAATGAAATGAATGTTGAATAAATAAATGAGCCAGTCCTTGGAAATCTTTTCCACAAGGTTGCTTTGAAGCTTAATTCATTGAGAAGAAATTTATCAGGAGGATGGGTAATCAAGCATTTTAAAGAGCTTCAAGGGTTTTTTTTTGTTTTAATGCTCACCCAAGGATATGTTTTTATTGATTTTAGAGAGGGGGCAAAGGAGAGAGAGAGAAATATCGATGTGAGAGAAACATCGATTGGTTGCTTCTCATATGTGTCTAGACCAGGGATTGAACCCACAACCTTTTGGTGTACGGATGACACTCCAACCAATTGAGCCACCTAGCCAGGACATGAGTTATTTTATTTTTCTTACCACCACCACCATCCCTGGACCCAAGTTCAGAGAATGATGTAGCATGTGCTTTAGTATCTTTGGGAAACTTAAGGAAAATCTATTTCAATACACTGATCTTTCACAGACACCAGCCAGACCAGCAGAGCAGTCACAACAAATGCGCTGGGCTGATGCCGAAGGAGGGCATGGAGCGAAAGTGCCTCACAGGGAGAAGCTGCCGGAATGTGGACAGTACCAGGAAGGACAAAGGGGCAGTGATCTGTCAACAAAGCTAGGCCCTGATAAGGAAAAGGGTACCAGATCAAAAGAGGAAAGGACCTGCTTGGAGATGGCAAAGGTTCACTTGATTTATTCCCAGAGTTACTTATATTTCTGCCACACTGTTTTCAAACTGGCATCAGAAATCTCGCAATAATTCTTAAGTTCTGATATAATTACTAGCCTTGGAAGGAACTGGTCAGACTTTTAGGGAAGTGGAATTTTAAATCCTCAGAACAACAGCAAATCGGTAAAACACGACGGGAATGTAAGGCTCGTGCTTGCAGCTGGAGAGCCCTTGCACCTTGAGAACATCAGCACTGAACCAATCTCAGGGCTGTGGGGCCTACAGGCCCAGCCCCCTCTCAGGGATTCTTTCCAAATCCATCACCTAGACAACAGTGACAGTGTCTAGGATTCACTGACCCACTTAATATGCCCTGAAGTCTCCCAGGCTAATCCTCACAGCCACGATCAGGAGTTAACATTTCTTCTTCCTAGAAACCAGTGAAAACAAGAGGCACGCACAGTGGAGGTGCCTAGATATTTCAAAACCCCTGAAGCAACCTGAGGACCAGGGTCTCATCCTCCTTGTTGTCCAAAGTTTAAAGGCTTCAGTGGGAATGACCTCAACCAGTAATACATTCTTATCCTTATTAGAACACAGAAAAAAAATTAAAGTTGTTTGCTTCTTCAAATTAAAGAAAGGAACTTAACCATATCTACAGACCTACAACCCAAACAGGTAAGAAGGGTGAAGAGTGGCAAGAAGTGGTACTTAGAAAAGGTAACTGTCTTCTGGAACTCGCTTACCCATCTTTCACTGTGTGGGCCACCTGACTTCCAGGCCAGCATGCATTAGCTGCTGGAAAAGTGCTAGTCTAAGGGTCCTATGTCATTTACAAGGAAACAGTTCACCTTCTCATAGAAAGTGGGAAAGTGCAGAAAGAGGCCTGCAGCAGCTGCTCCTCTTTGAGAAATAAGACACTTCCTCAGCTGACAAGGTGCTATGGGTGACATGTCTCACTGTCTGCATCGGCGGGACCACAGTGGGTCATGTGTGAGACGAAGGTGGGGTTGGGAGTGTGGTGTGAACCTAGGATGCTGGAAAACTACTTTCCTAACAGCAGAGACGCATGCTCAGCTCCACCTTCTCCCTCCAGAGTGAGCTGTCTCCCATATAAGGGCAGAAGGAGGCGGATGTCTGCATACCCAACCCCAATGGGGGAGTGGTAGAGCAGCCAGAAGAAAACAACATTTCTCTGTCTTGAACTGAGGCTGCCAGTGTGTGAGGCCAGAGAGTTAAGACCATGAAACTAGATGGCCAAGTTAAAAGAGGAAGAAAAATCCTGAGGCTAAAAGAACCTCATGAATGAGGATGGTGCACTAAATCCTCTGCCTCAAGTCAGAGGAAAGTATCTTCACACTAATTAATTATATGCTGTAGGCTCCCCCTGACTAGCTGTAAAACGCTATTTCATAAAGAAGTAATCCCCTGCATGCCATCATAACCTCTCAGACCCGGGAACAACCGATCGCAAGTCAGGTCGGACCAATACGCTTCATTACTACAGGTTTAACATCTCCAACCTTCACTTATCAGGCAGGCGGTCCTCCAGCAAAGATACTTGCGACCTCGAGTCAAATGAATTTTTAAAAATAGGGAAAGGGTGGTAAGGAGAGTCCCGTTCCCTCCTGAAGTGCCTTCCCTTAGCAGAGACAAGGCGGGCAAAGGGCCGCTCCTTCCCCTTTTGGCTCCAGGTCCCCAAACCCACTGTATTTTATGATGATGATCCCAGGCCAGCAGCCGGTTCTCCCCAAAATAGCGCCCCCACCCATCCGCGTCTATCTCTGGCCAACAGTACCCTCCAGTCCTGGCTCTGCTCCCACTCATGCCCCCCACCTCCAAGGCCAGAGTGGCCTCAGCTCACCATTTGACTTGCGTCCCTCCCATGGTCCCCCTCCTGGCTCCGGCTTCAGCGAGCCTGCTTCCCTGGGCGAAGTGGGAGGCTGGGAGTCACAGCGCTCCCCAATTCGGGCATGTCTCCCCGACTGGGGCCGAAGAACCGCTGCACGGGCAGGCCACCGACCGGCGCTGCTGGCCCCGGCCGCGGGAGACGGCGGGGGGCAGAGGCCGGCGTCTCAGCCCCAGGGACCGGGATGCTCCCGGGTCTGGGGCGCGCGGTCCCCGCGGCTCAGACACAGCTGCAGCCGGGTCTGGGCGGAAGCCGCCTCCCCTCGCAGGCGGCGGGTCCCCACCGGCCGCATGGTGGTCTCCGCGGCCGCGCGCTGAGCCAGCCCCGGGGCGCGGGCATCTCAACCCATCTTCCTCCGCAAGAAATGGTCCCGCGGTTCCGGCTGCGCAGCCGAGTCCGGGGCAGCGAGCGGGCGGGCGGGGACCCCAGCTCCGCAGCGCCTCCCAGTCCCCCCTCCCGCCTCGCCCCTCCCGGGCTGTCACAGCGGCCTGGCAGCGCCGGCGCGGACCCGGGCGGACCGGCGGGCTGCAGGGGCGCCCTGGGCTGGGGGCACCGGCTAGGCAGGAGGGGCGCGGGCCGGATCTCCTGATCTGAAAATGTTGCCTTCTCTACCCTGAGCCCCCCCTCTCGGACACGGGGTCGGGGTATGTAAAAGCCACCTCCTTGAGGGTGGGGTCTCCCCCGGAAACCCGCGGAACGGCCATCTACCCCCACTTTCTCCTCGGGCGTTTCGAGTGTTCTTTTTACCAACTAGGAAACATTTTGTTTGGATACGGTGACTGGCTGGCCTGAGGTCTTGGAAGCAACAGGCCGGCAGGATGTCCCTCGAGGACCAGGGGCAGGGAATGAAACACTACGGGCTACCTTTCCAATCTTAACCTTCTCCGGGTTAGGGGGCACATCCCGGGGTCTCCTGGCCTTCATGGTCACTAGGCCATTAGATGGGCTCCCCCTGAGCAAGGGTGGAGGGAGGGGACAGATTGTGCCCAAGCTGCTGGATCTCAGGGAGCTGACAGAGGAACAGGCAGGGTGCTGACAGCACCCTAAGGAGGTGAGTGAGGGTCGACTTACAAGAAAAGAAAATTAGGAAGGCGTGAAAGACAAAGAGGAATGCAAACTATTCTCTGAGCCCTTCCTAGAAGTGTCACCATCATCCCACTGCAGTCTGATTTCCAGTGGGTCCCTCATTCACCCTCTCACTGTGGCTGCCCCTCTGAGTTCTGCCCGAGTGCTCTCAGGAAGAAATCCAGGTCTGTCTCTGTCTCTGTCTCTCTCATTCTCTCTGTCTCTCATTCTCTCCCCCCCCCTCTCTCCCCCTCCCCCCCCTCCCTCCCTCCAACACTGGCAGGCACTGTCAGGCACAGAAGAGCAAGAGGCCAGTAGCCACGCAGGAAGCAATAGATCTCATTATACAATGAAACATCCTTTGAATCTGTGCCAAGTGACAGTCAAAGCAGCAAGCGAGGAAGAAATGGTTTAGATTCTCACTTAAAGCACACCTATTGCTTCATAGATACAGAGCTTCCTTTTGGGGTGATGCAAATGTCTTCAAAGTGCATAGAGGTGATAGTTGTACAACATTACAAGTAAAGTACCAAATGCCATCGAATTGTACATTTTAAAATGATTAATGGTTGCCCAGTCAGTGTGGCTCAGTTGGTTGAGCATTATTCCGTACACCAAAAGGTTGCAGGTTTGATTACCAGTCAGGGCTCATGCCTGGTTTTAGGTTTTATCTCCAGCTGGGGCATGTATGGAAGGCAACTGATTGATGGTTCTCTCTTACATCGATGTTTCTCTCTCTCTCTCTCTTCCTCTCTCTAAGCATTTCTCAGGTGAGGATTTAGAAAAATGTAAAATGATTAATGGTTAATTTTATGTTATGTGAATTTTATACATAAAAAAGCGTATTTATTAAATATGAAAATAAAGAAAGTTGAGCAAGGTTACCAGTATATTAAAATGCTAGGAGAATGCCATGTGACCTCAATAAATTAGGAAATAGTCCATCAAACTAAGATGGAATTTTATGAGGAAAAGAAATAGGAGGGGAAAAAACCAAAGACACATAAATACATATAAGACAAAGAACAATTAGGCTTACTTAGAACAGCCTAAGCTGGATTGAGGTAGGAGAGAAAAAAGATCAGAAGAGCATAAATTAAATATGATTCAGCAATGAAATGAAGTCAGTAAATAAGCTAACATGATCTGGAGATGTGTTTACAGGAGCATGATTTACATAAGCCAGGAAAGTAGTCTTTTCCTGCCACTACACTTGGCATTCATTAGGCTTTTATGAGAGCACTGTGTCCTGTCTGGGTTAGTGCACTTGGCTCTAAGGCATATAGACAGCCTTCCAGCTAGAGTCACATATATCATTAGCCTACTCGAATATGTACTAATCTGCCACAATTCCCAGCCCTATAAATGAAAATTGGAAACATTCTAATGTTGTAAGACAACTCTGCTCATTTTATCTTGCTGTGAGCTTTATACAACCATCTCAGGCCATATCTTAGAGTTACATCCAGGCACAAAAACAGCGCAGTGGAAGTGGTTCTCATAAACACTGGCAGCTGGTATACAAGCATCAGAACAACCAGGCTGGCCATGCCAGGTCCCAGCCATGCCCCCATGTGGACACAGCTAAGTACTGGCACAAAGTGTCCACATGTGGAAAATTCACCAGCATCCCACCCTACCCTCCCTGCCGGCACAAAACCAGAAGACAGTGCTGAGGCTACCCCTTTAAGGCCAAACATTCTCTGAGGAAAAGAGACAGGGTTTAGGTGCCAAATGGCCTGCTGTGTTACTGTTTGAGGCTGAGAACCCTGAGAGTCCCCAAGAATTCAGCTGTTAGCTAGGACTGGAGTGGTAAAGAATCCGAGGCCAGTTACCTGGAGCAGCTGGACTCAGACGGAGACCTCTGCTGCCCTTCGTACTGCTGCACCAGAGCTCGCACGCTCCAGTACGGATTCTCGATCTCCTCGTCCATGCTGCTGTTCCTAAAGTCAGAGGGCACCAGCAAAGGAGAAGGTGTCAGTCCTTCAAGTCAACAAGTACTGACAGATGGCCACTCCTGTGAGCACTACGGGAAAAAAAGATGAAGAAAGCAAAGCCCCTGCCTCAAAGACACTTGAAACCTAGCAGGGAAGACAGACACAAAAACATGTAATTTCACCACCTTTTGCAGCACCTCAGGATCCTGCTTGGCAGACACACACCGCCAAAGCGTTTCCTGCCAGGACTCCAGTACGGCTTGGTCTTCAGGCGATTCCAGGGACGGCCTCCCCCAAATGAATGGAACATTGCTCCCACATATCTCCCAGCGAGGAAAACACACTGTGCCAAAGGCATATATTTACAATTCTGGGCACCAGAGCCACAGATTGTCTACATCATTCCTTTACTTTCTGCCAAATGCAAATAGGGCTCTCTAAAAGAAAGGGCTTTTGTCTTTTGAAGTGCCCTCTCCAGCCTCCACCCACTCTTTCCTGCAACATGGGGCTGTGCAGGTGATATTTTCATTTACAGCACAGTAGCATTTAAGGGAAGAAATATCAAAGACAGTCCATCCTCAGATTTCTACCCTTACCTCTGTCTGAATCGAAAGACATCCCGTCCTGACCGTGACATGTCACGACACACATCGGCCAGAGCAGCAGCTGCTCCCTGGGCCACAGCAGTGGCACAGTGTGGCTGGTGACTCTGCAGAGGAGCTCTGATGTCCCGTCCTTGGCTTACTGTCCTGCTAGAGCCGGGTTTGAAGTGAGCTGCCAAGGCAAGGACCAGCCTCATGATAGACTTCAGGTTTCCTTCCACAATATCTGAGGAACAGAACAGACCAAGAGGTCCTCAGAGGGAGGCCGGGAGCTGAGAACTCATTCACTTAATATGTACTTGCTAGTGATGCAGGTGAGCGAGGCAGTCAAGGTCTCTGTCCTCACACAACAAGGACACACAAGATTTAAAAGCAATTATAGCAAAGTACAATACCATGTTATGATAGAAGTTCAGGATTCTTTGGGGGCTCAGAATAGAGGCATTCTGTCTATTCTAGAGGGTTCAGGGATTCCCAGAGGACACAAGTTCTAAACTGAGACGACTGATGAATAGTGGTCCATCAGATGAGGGACGAGGAGGAAAAGAGCATTCCAAGAAGAGGGAGCAGCAAGCAGGTCCGGAGGCGAGAGAAAGCATATTAGAGGCTCTGTGGTGTGGGAGCCACTAGCCTCACTGAACACTTAACAGGTAGCTACTGTCCGAACTGAAACGTGCTGTAGTGTAGCGCTCACACAAGAAAAGGATGAAAAATATCTCCTTAGCCCTGGCCTGTTTGGTTCAGCAGTTAGAAAGTCAGCCTGCGGTCCAGAAAGACCCGAGTTCGGTTCCGGCTAAGGGTATGTACCTCGGCTGCGGTTTGTCCCTGGCCCTGGTTGGTCGTGCAGGTGGCAGCCACTTGATGTGTCCCTTTCACGTCGATGTTTCTCTCTCTCGCTCTCTCTTCCTCTCTCTCCCTCCCACTCTATCTGAACAAAAAATGGAAAAATGTCCTCAGGTGAGGATAAAAAAATAAATATATATCTCCTTAGATGTAGTACAAAAAATAGAATGCAAAATATATCTCATTAATAGTTTTTTATATTCGCTACATGTTGAAATAATATTTTGGATATACTGAGTTAAATAAATTTATTATTCAAATTAATTTCATGCTTTTTTTTTCCCCCTTAATGTGGCTATTAGACCCTTTCACGTGCTGCATGTGACTCATGCAGGTCGCGGCACAGCTCTGCGGGAGAGCAGCTGGAAGAGCCCAGCACAGCCGCAGCGCAGAGGCCGGCGGGAGCGGGTGGCAGGGAGGGATGAGTCGGGTCGGGCCAGGAAGGGCATGCTAAGCCAGAAGGACTCTGGGCTCTACCCTAAGGGCCCTCGACGCGGAGGACTGCAGGAGCACGTGCTCTCGTAGAAAGACCATTCTGGCGGGGTGTGGAGAGCAGGTGGGAGAAGGACGAAAAGCAATGCCGTGGGACTAATCAGGAAGCCAGGTGAAGGACAACGATGTCCTGAGAGGCGGTGTTCCCTCAAAATAGCTGACTTTAATGGGCCAGATCCCCAAGCCCACCCCTCATGGGGACCAGAGGAGAGAGATTATCGCATTTGAAATCTGCCCTAGAAAAAGAGAGGAATGCAAGCAGCAAAAAATGTGGCAGGTCTGGTGAAAGGTGATGTAAGGAAATGAGTAAAATTCTGTTTTTTTAGTTTTAAATATGCAAGCTTTTGAAAGGACTGATTGATACTTTCTACAGGGTGCTCTCAATGGTCAGTATCTACCCTACCTGAATGCCCCCCAAACAAAGAACATCAGTAATCTGACATGAAAGGGTGCTCCCTCTGCCCCCCTCTCACCAGAGCCGCAGGTAATCAGGCCCAGAAACTGAAGCAGAAACAGAACTGGATTACAGTCAGCTCCAGAGAAACGGTGAGAGGACTAGGGAGCCTGTGCCTTCTGAAGACACCTTCACCCTTCCCTGCAGCCCGGGCTCGAGGTGCACCAAGGGTCCCCTTCTGGCCATGTGCTACAGGAGAGGGCACATGCAGAGGTCACCGAGACCCCTTCATCCCACCAGGAATGTTCTGTGATGTCAAAAATAGAAATAAAAATGCTAGAAAATATTTTCCACCTGGAAAACTGGATGGAAAAAATGTAGATTATTATGATTTGAAGTAATTCTTCGTCATGAAACCCTAGGAACTTGAAAAACATAATCTGTTTTTTTTTTTATCCTCACCCGAGAACATTTTTGCATTTATCTTCAGATAGAGCGGGAGGGAGAGGGGTGGGAAGAGAGAGAGAAACATCCATGTGAGAGAGTCACATCTAGTGGTTGACACCCACACGATCCCAACAGGGGCTGAGGACAAACTGCAACCAAGGTACCTGCCCTTAGTGGGAACTGAACCCGGGACTCTCTGGTCCACAGGCCAACGCTCTAACCGCTGAACCAAACCAGCCAGGGCCCAAAAACTTTCTTTATGGGAAAATGACATGAGGTCATGGGCCTAAACCTACTCCTGTCTATCAGAACCCTCGGCTACACAACTGAGCAGTTACCAGCTAAAGATAAGTATACTCATCCACCAAGAACAAGAAGAGGCCTGACCTTTAGCTGAGGTCTGGTGCATTCGAATCTTTTTGGAGGCCACAAACTGTAGCACCTTCTCCACGTTATTCTTCATCTCCTGCTGGTTTCTAGGGTTCAGTTGTACCCCACTCAACTTTTCTCCTGCTGTTAGAAGATAGAAAATATATGAAGCTCTAGGGAGAAATATTATCAAAGTCTCATACCGCGACACACAGGGAAAGAGAAAGATTATATATAAATATACAGGTGAGTTAAGTTGATGTTTGTAATTTAGATGGAAAATAGGAAAATGAAAGTCTTTTGGAGGGCCTAAAAATTTTAAATCTATTTCCAGGAGTCTGTGAAGTTGCTATGCGTACATTTGATCACTGAGCTCCCACTGTGAGCCAGGTCTGCTGTGGACACCAGAGAAACATCAGTGAACAAATAGACAAAGACCCTTCCAAAAAAAAGGAGAATTAATTTTTTTAAAAGTCCCTTCCATCATAGAGTTTGTGTCTTTAGCGATGACAGTTGACTAAGTCAATGAGTAAATGTTTAATATAATTTCAGATAGTGATAAATGTATGGGGAAAAACACAGACGTGTGATCGTGGGCTCTCTGATAATACATTTGGGCAGAAACTTCAATAAAGTAAGAGATGTTAACATTTGAGGAGGAAGCATTTCAGACTAAGGAACTACAGGTACAAAGCCCAGAGTAGGGTTGAGCTCAGCTCACCTGGGGAACAGCAGCCAGCCCAGTGTGGCTGGAGTGGAGGGAGGGGCTGAGCTCTAGGAGAGGACAGAGAGGTGAGCAAGGCCAGGACGTGGAGCTCTGCAAACCAGGGTAAAGAGCTTGAATTTTAATCCAGTGTAATGGGCTCTGGCCGGCTTAGCTCAGTGGTTAGAGTGTTAGGTCAAGGACCATTGTCTTGGGTTCGATTCTGGTCAAGGGCACATGCGGGAGGCAACCAGTTGATGTGTCTCTCTCACGTCGATGTTTCTCCCTCTCTCCCCCTCCCACTCTATCTGAAAATAAATGGAAAAATATCCTCGAGTAATAATTTAAAAAATAAAATAAAATATTCTCAGTGTAATGGGCAGCCAATGAGGAGTTTGAGGCGAGGGAGATACATGACCTATCTGATTTATGTTTTTAAAAGTTGACTCTGTGTAGACATAGATTATGCAGAGAGGAAACAAGGAGATTAGTTAGAAAGAAAATGATAATAGTCAAGGCAAGCAAACAATGGCTTGGGTTAGAGTAGAAGAAGCTGCCAGGTGGAAAGTCAGATATTGGTTAATTTTTGATATAAAGCAGACAGCACATGTAAAGAACTGGATATGATACATGAGGAAAACTTTAAATGTTCTGTTTTAAGAGCTGGGTGAAGGGTACTGTGTTACGTTACTCAGATGAAGAAACCTGGAGGAGCCCGGCCAGTGTAGCTCATTGGTTGAGTGTCGACCTATGCACCCAGAGGTCGCTGGTTCGATTCCCAGTGAGGGCACGTGCCCAGGTGGTGGGCCTGATCCACAGTATTGGGCATGCAGGAGGCAGCCAATTGATGTTCTCTCTCATCGATGTTTCTCTCTCTCCCTCTCCCTTCTTCTCTCGAAAGAAAGAAAGAAAGAAAGAAAGAAAGAAAGAAAGAAAGAAGAAAGAAGAGGGTAAATGGATTAGTGGGGAGCAGGAAATCAAAAGTCTGATTAGGACATGTGAAGTTAAAGCTGTATTTTGGACATTCAAGTAGACATGCCGAATAGGGAGTTGATAGTCATGTCTAAAACTCAAGGAAGCGTTTAGGACTAAAGAAATAATATATGTTGGAAAGAAACCACCTAGGAATAGAGAATATTCAAGGGCTAAGGACTGAATCTGGAGAACTTCACCATTCAGAGGTCAGGAAGAAGGAGAAAAGCCAGCAAAGCAAACAGAGCCAGAGAGGAAGGAGGAAAACTAGTCCACAGGATCCTGGAAACAAAGTAAAGAAAATGTTTGGTTACCTTTTTGTTTTGTTGATAGTTTCTTTTACTGTGCAGAAACTTTTTAGTTTATGTAGTCACATTCATTTTGATGGATGATTGGATAAAGAAGATGACGTACATATATACAACGGAATACTACTCACTCATAAAAAAGATGAAATATTCCCATTTGCAACAATATGGATGGATCTTGAGAGTATTGTGCTGAGTAGAGTAAGTCAGGAGGAGAGAAGGGACAAGAATCATATGAATTCACTCATATGTGGGATATAAAACAAAAACAACAAACAAACTCATAGATACAGACAGCAGAATGGTGGTTACCAGAAGGGAAGGGGCATGGCAGGAGGATGAAGAGGGTAAAAGGGGTCAAATAAGTGGTGATGCAAGGAGACCAGACTTCAGGTGGTGGGCACACGATAGAGTGTATAGATGTCATATTATAAAGATGTACACCTGAAACTTATATAATGTTATTATTAACCAATGTCACCCCAAAATTTTTTTTAAAAAGTGTTTGAAGGAAGAGGGAGTGAAAAACTGTGTGAAGTTCTCTTAAGTTGAATCAAATGAGGACTGAGGCCTGGCCACTGGCTTTCTCAAGGCTGCGGTTGTGATCTGGAGGAGAGTAGTTTTAGTACAGTAGAGGAATTAAAAGCTTAATGAGAGCGGGTTAAAGGATAAATGGGGAAAGGAAGTGAATTCCGTGAGTTTTCCTAGAAGGCAAAGTCACAACAGAATGTCAAAAAAACCTTGCGTTCTGGGCAAACAAGAACACATATTCACATTGCTTGTATATGCACAGAATATCTCTGAAAATAAATGCCAAAAACTGCTTTTGCTGGCTGCCTCCGGAAAGAAAAACAGGCAGTTGGCAGAGGAACTCAGGTAGAAAGAAGACTTTCTTTTTTTTTTGGTACGTGCCCCTAGCTGGAACCAAACCCAGGACTCTCTGGTCTGCAGTCCAACGCTCCAACCGCTGAGCCAAACTGGCCAGGGCGAAAGAAGATTTTTGACTTTATAATCTTTTGTACCTTCAGGATTTTTTACCTGATTATATTTTCAAGTATACTTAACTGAAATAAGTGAAAAATTAAATGTTTAAAACGAGCCTGAAATCAAAGCAGATCTAGGTTTTGCCACCACTATGCCACTTCAAGTTATGTGACCTTGTGAAGTTGCTTAGCCTTTTCTTTTTTTTTTAATCCTCACCCGAGGACATTTTTTCATTGTTTGTTCAGCTAGAGCAGGAGAAAGAGAAAGGAAGAAAGAGAGAGAGAGAGAGAGAGAGAGAGAGAGAGAGATTGACATGATAGGGACACATCGAGTGGCTGCCACCCACATGACCCAACCAGGGCCGGGGACAAACTGCAACCGAGGTACATGCCCTTAGCGGGAACTGAACCCGGGTCTCTACAGACTGCAGGCAGATGCTCTAACTGCTGAGCCAAACCAGCCAGGGCTGCTTAGCTTTTTCAAAGCTCAGGAAATGAGTGAGAGAGTGGTACTCCTATCATACCCACGTCATACACCAATCAAAGTAGCATGCTTAGCACAATCTTTGATATATTCTAAGTGCTCAATGAATTTTTTTATTTTTATAAATCCTCTCTTTTAAGCTGTTTCCTGAAAATGGGAATAACATTAGTTATTTCTCAAGGGTTGATGACTAAGTGAAATTAAATTAAACAAGACAGAAAGTATTCAATAATGGCAGCTACTATTGCTATTACCATTGTTATTACTATTATCAATGAATATTCTGATGAGCCCATCAGCTGTGCCAGTGAGGGATGGGCTGCCTGCGCCTAACGGCTTCTTCATCACCACCTGCGAGCGAGCTGCCTCCCTCAAGGACTCTAAGTGAGGTGGGCTGACGAAGACGATGATCAGCCTTTGAACACCTGTCATGTGCCAGGCACTTGGGTAGGAGGTGTGGAGCCAAAAAAAAAAAAAATTATACTGTACCTGCTCTTAAAGAGCTCAGTGTACACAGGAGAGATAGGCAAATAATTACCATTTGGTGAATGGGAATAAAATAATAACAGAGCTACATACAAATGCTATGGAAATAAGGTTATGGTACCATCTAACAAGGATGAGCAGCAACAACTCCAGGATTTCAAAAGGACATGGCTTTTCATGAAGCATTATAGTATATTAGAGGGGTCCTTTTGCCTGGCTACTACTTCCTTTTCCAGCCTCAGTTCAGACTTCAATTCTTCTGACAAGCTACTTCTGAACCCCTAAAACTGGGTTGGGTGACCCCCCCACCATGTGCTCCTATCCGTACTCACCCCATCAAAGTACTAAGTACATTAATGAAATGACTTAATTTTCCAGTTTTTCCAGCTATATTGGAGGCTCTGAGAGCTTAGACTGCTCATCACATCCCAAAACATAATACAGTACCTGGCATGCAGTGTTTTTTTTAAAGTTTTTTAAAAATTGAGTTTAGAAAGAGATAGAAACATCAATGAAAGACAACATGGATTAGCCGCCTACTGCACGCCCCCTACTGGGGATCATGCCCACAACCTGGGCATGTGCCCTGACTGGGAATTGAACTGGTGACTTCTTGGTGCATGGGTTGATGCTCAACCACTGAGCCACACAGGCTGGACTGGCACGCAGTGTTTACTGACTAATAAATAAGTGAATTAACCTTGAGAAAGTATTTTAAATCTTCTCTACTTCCAGTTCCATATATTTTAAAGAAGAAGAAATCTGTTCTGAAAGGCATAGGAAAGATAAAGAAGGTCATGCTCTGGTTTATGTTGCACCAGAGTCCAGGGCCACTGACCCACAATCTCGATGAGATAAGCCAGGATCACCCCATCGCGAAGGTCCTGTCGCAGGTCCTGCACTGGCTTCACCGCGGGCCTCTTCTTCAGCTGCGCGTTCACCCAGGCCACATAGGCCTGCAGCTGCTGCTGGAGTGAAAGTGGAAATGAGGGGAAGGTCGCCTGTTATTCTTAACCTCCACCCTGCAAGTCTGAGGCAGCGTCTGAGACTGAGCCAGCGTCTGAGACTGAGCCATGGTGGGCAGTCCATGTCCAGAGGGAGGAGGAGGTTTTAAGGAAAGAAAAAAGATGGTCAGACATATATCAAGTTTTGACATTCTCTAGTTTTATGCCAGCCTCCAAGGATAAGCTGACCTATGACCAGGTGGCAGTGTACACACAGATAAGCAGACAGACGTGTCAAGGACTGCGACTCCTGCTTCCTTTGAGTTTTGCTCTGTTGACCAGGGATGAGGGCCGGGCCCAGAACCACATTCAGTTTTCGGTGTAATCACTGCAGCCAGCAACCCATCTTCTCAGGACCAATCACTCATGTCCCCTATGCACAATGTGATACTCATAAGTATTGATCTTGGGAATCAGGAATAAACAGTAAACCAAGCTCAGAACCACCTCTCCCATAGCTGCTTTCTTCACAAGGAGACTTAACTGAAATCATCTCACACTCAACCTAAGATTTGTTCTCCTGAGCCATCAATCCTGGGCTTTCTACTAAGTTACTTTTAATCCTTGCTTTATATTGTCAAAGAGGATCTAGTCACCTAATACCTGCACAAAGAAGGGCAAAGAAAGCCTAGGGTAAACAGTGTTCCCGAAGACTGGGGAAAGGCTAGGGGACACTTTCCTTTATTTTCAGACACAGCTGGGTCACAGAAGCCTGGGAGGCCCAGGTAGGGACACACAACTCATCCCAACCCTCAGATGACCTTACCTATTCCACTTGTCTCTCACACAGAACTTGTATGCCGGTGTTTATTCTGATTATTTGGTCTGAAGATAGGCATTAAATATCAAAACAGCACATGAGCAATGCCATAGTACAGGGAGCAGACAGTATCATCTCCAGTTTATCTGTGAGGTTCAGAGAGGTTATGTAACTTCTCCAGTGCCCTGGTTTCTGTAGAAGCCCGAGATTGGACCTAGAAATTAAGTTCAAGGGCTAACTATCAAATTATAATTTGGTTAAGGTACAGTTGATTTCTAAGCCCTAAGTACTTCCTTAATAAGCGATGTCGGCAATTACTCACTGGCGGCTTCCTGAGCTTAAATTAAATCTTCATTATTTTCTCTATGTTTACCCTTGGGAATAAAGTCCTTTGGAAATAGTACTAAGGCAACAATCAATCAGCTACAAACTATAGGAAGTGCTGTAATCAGCAGGTGGTAGGGGAAGGAATCTAATATTTATTGAGTACCTACCACGTGCTTGTGTTTCATACATGTTTTAATGACTAAATAATATACCTGGAACAGGTCTGTCACACAATTGATGCTTACATAATGGTCATTACTATTTTCATCACTATCATCATCTAATCCAATCATCACAAAAGCACTGAAGGGCCAGTATCATCTCCAGTCTATGCATGAGGTTCAGAGAGATTATGTAACTTCTCCAGTGTGCCCATAGCTAGGACAGAGTAGAATTGGCTTTGAAACCCACTAAATGTGGTCCACACCTCTTGCTATCCAATTCGTTCCACAGAATAGAAGTGGCTGCATCTTCTGCCTAACACGGGTCAGACCTTCATCTGAGGTCTGCTCCCACTCTGTTCTGGGGAAAATGAGTTAAGATCAGAAGAGGCATTAAGGGTAACAGCTGGGATCTGATTACCCGACTAATACTGATTAGTATTAAACTCCTAACTAATCTCCCTGTAGCAAATATCACACTCAACCCTCTTTCCACACATTCCTGCTTAAAATCCTTTCTGGTTTCTCATTATCCTTAAGATAAAAATCCAGCCTCCTTAGCTGCATTGAGGTCTGTCACGTGCTAGCCCTGGCTCTTCTCCACCTCTACGCACTCCCCTCCCGTATGCCCCCCAGGCTTCAGCTCATCCAAACCCTGTGCAGTGCCCCAAACCCACCATGCTTTCCAGCCACTCGACTTCCCCCTGCCTGCCGTCTCCTTCTGCGTCTCATCTCAAGCAGCACCTTTCCCAGAAAGCCTCCCCTGACCCTCCCACACACCGCAGACTATGATCTCCTTCAGGGCGTCCTGTGTAACAATCAGTTCAGCAATAATCCGAGCACGGGCACTGTACTGTTATTGAGCTCCAAAGAGTCTTATGTCTCCAAGAAGCTTGCAGGAAAAAAAGGGAAGAGAGGAGAGGGAGAGAAGCTTGCAGACTGGTAGAGACGAGTGCTACCAGGGGTGCGCAGGGCTAAGAGAGTGTTAGCCTAATGGAGCCCGCACTGCGGGGGCTTCCTGAAGGGGAAAGGAGGCAAGGTCCGAGGACAGTGAGCCCAAAGGCGCTCAGGTCTGAACTACGTTCTATGCAGGGAGTTACAACAGCTCAGAATTACTGGACTCGGAGTAACAGGTGCTCAACAAATATTTGAATCAGTGAATAATTGTTATATTACATCAGGCCAAGACTTAAAATGATCACAAAGGCTAATTATGTGGGGGCAGACAAGAACAAATGTTTTTCATTAGGCTAAAATAATTTCTACTTAAGTAATCATAGCCTTCCTCTGGCTGTTGAATAGGAGTGTCTCTGATTCAAAGGTGATTAGAGGCTCCTAACAGTACCTTTCATGTATGCGCATAATCACAGCTCTGGTTTTCCAAGAGGATTCTACAGCATAAATGAGAATAATAGTCACCACTTTTCTGAACACCTATTCTGTGTCAAGAGTTATGCTAGGTCCTTTAAACACATTTTCTCTCATGTTAATCGGCCAAGGGGGTTCTATTATATCTCTTTTGGTAACTGAAAATTGAGAATCAAAAAAAGGTGAAATAACTTGTTCAAAGTCACCCAGATAGCTAACTATGAATATGAGATCCACTCTACTTCCCAAGCCAATGCTCTTTCCACTCTACCACACTGTCACCTAAATGCATCCCCGAGGTTTCAACCACCTTACTCTCTCAGGACAGAAGGCAACTTCCTCTAAATCACTTCCTCCATCATGTCCAATGCTTGAGTCTCTGTGTAATACTCTACAATAATTAGCTGTCTACTACTCAAGTGTTGTCCCTGGTCCTGCAGCATCGATGTCACCTAGAAGCCAATTAGAAATGTAAACTCTAAGGTTCCACCCCAGCCCTAATGAATCAGAATCTTATTTTTAAAAAATCCACTGGTGATTCAAATGCACATTAAAGTTTGAAAAGTTTGATCCAGTCCAGCTAGTGTGGCTCAGTGTTTGAGCATCAACCCATGTGCCTAGAGGTCGCCAGTTCGATTCCCAGTCAGGGCACATGCCCAGGTTGTGGGCCTGATCCCCAATGGGGGGCATGCAGGAGGCAGCCAATCGATGTTCTCTTTCATCGATGTTTCTCTCTTTCTCTCTAAAATCAAGAAAAAAGAAAAAGAAAAGAAAAGTTTGATCCAGCCCACTTCCCATTCCTGGCTGCACATCAAGATCACAAGGGAAGCTTTTCCAAAATACAGATATGGAGACCTTTCCCCAAATCCACCCAATTCTCTCCAGAGGGTGGAACTCAGAAATTTTTATTTCCCAAGTTTCCCCATAAGATTCTTGTAGAGCTAAGGTGTCTTCTGGCTAAATACAATACTCTAGGTATAAAAAGAGACACGCAGATTCCTCATTCAAGGTATTTATCCTCTTCTTCCTTTCTTTTCTTTCTTTTTTGTTGGTGTTGTTGTTTTATCCTTGCCCGAGGACATTTTTGCATCTTCAGATAGAGCAAGAGGGAGAGAGGGAAGAAGAGAGAGAGAGAAACATGGATGTGAGAGAGACACATCAACTGGTTGCCACCCACACGACCCCAACCCGGGCCAGGGACAAACTGTAACCGAGGTACGTGCCCTTAGTGGGAACTGAACCTGTGACTCTCTGGACCTTGGTTCGACGCTCTAACTGCTGAGCAAAACCGAGGGCTCTTCTTCCTTTCCTTCTTTCCTCGGCCACCAGAACATGTTGTTGACACATATTAGGGGGTTATTCAAAATCCCTAAGTATTATTATTTTATTTTATTAACTGTTCATTTTGAAATAATTTTGCCACATAGAAGTGGCACAAAGAGTTCCCTTACACACCTTCCCCAAATATTTACATCTTACACAACCCAGTACAATGATCAAAACAGGAAATTAACATTGACACAAGGCTATTAATTAATCTACAGACCTTATTCAAATTTCACCAATTGTCCCACTAACGTCCTTTTTCTGGTCCAGCAACCAATTCAAGATCTCACATTGCTTTTATTATTATTATTATTTTTTTTATCCTCACCCAAGGACATTTTTTTCCACTTTTTTGTTCAGCTAGAGTGGGAGGGAGAGAGAGAGAAACATTGATGTGAAAGGGACACATCGAGTGGCTGCCACCCGCACAACCAACCAGGGCCAGGGACAAACCGCAACCAAGGTACATGCCCTTAGTGGGAACCGAACCCAGGTCTCTCGGGACTGCAGGCCGATGCTTCAACCGCTGAGACAAACCGGCCAGGGCTTACACTGCTTTTAGTTGTCATGTCTCTTTACTCTCTTCCAATCTTTGTCCTTCATGATCTTGACAATTTTGAAGAATACGGACCCAGTTATTTTGTACAGTGTCCCTCAATTTGGGTTTGTCTGGAGTTTCCTATTGATTAAATTCAGGTTGTGAATTTTTGGCAGAAAAACACAGAAGTCATACTGTGCTCTTCTCAGTGCATTATAATCAAAAGGCACATGATGCCAACACATCTTATTACTGATGAAGTTAACTGTGATCACTTGGTTAAGGTGGGGTCTGTCAGGTTTTTCTACTCAGTCTACTGTGAGGTTGATATTTTCCCTTTGTAATTAGTAAGTCTCTTGTGGGAAAATGCTTTGACACTAAAAATGTCCTTTTGGTTATCATCATGTTACCTATCCATTTTAAATTTAATATCCATTGATTTTTCTTTCCTGCAATAATTATTATGGTGTTTTCCAAATGATGA